AATAATAATATTATTAATAATACAAATATATTGGCATCTAAGGAAAATATTCTATTTCTAGTATATGTTTTCGTTTTCATTTTGTTAATACAGCATATTTCTCATAATGTGACACAATTACTAGTGATTATATTACGTACCCATACTGATCCAGAGAAGTAAGTATTATTTCAGCACATGTGACCAACAAAAGAGATTAATTCTAATTTCAAGATATATTTTTAATCATAGGGAAAATCGGAGTATAGTCTGAATACAGTGAATGAAAAACATTAAATGAAAGGAACACTGCATACAAATGCAGTTCATAACCCTGCATTCAACACCAACACTGCATACAAACACACCCCTACATTCAAACACCAACATTGCACCCAAATATACTCCTGTATTCAAACACAAACATTGCACACAAATAAGCCACTACATGCAAACACCAACACTGCACACAAAAATGCCAATCAAACAGCGACACTTCATACAAAATCGGCCCTTCATTCAAATACAAGAACAGTACACAAAAATGCCTCTTCATTTAAATATGAACACTAGACACAAATATGCCTCTGCATTCAAACACCAACAATACAAACAATTTCTCCCTTGTATTCAAACACACTACAAGCAAAAACACCCCTGTGTTCAGGGCCGTCTTTACCGCGGGGCAAACGGGGCAGCTGCCCGGGCCCAGTTACAACTGGGGGGCCCGAAGCAGCGGCACCGCGGGCCTGCTGGCCTCATGCATTTCTCCCACCTGCCTCTGCAACCACACTTAGGAGGCCCACAGCATGGCCCATGCATTAAGGGCCACCCGGTGGGCTTCTGTCAGCAGGGGCCTGGTCTTGCGCTCTGACGCTTCAAGAGCGCGACTGGGCACTCTTGCTTTTTCGGCAGCCGACTGGGAGGAAGTGACGGCCACAAGTCACTTCCTCCCATAAAGAGAGGAGCCACGCGGTAGGAGGAAGAGGCAGAGCGGAGGGCCCTGGGCCGAGCTTGCCAGACCCCAACTCCCAACAGCTTCAGGCACCCTCCAAGGTAGGAAACGGTTTAATAGTGTAACATTTGTGTGTGTATCTGTGAATGTCTCAGTATGTCTGTCAATGTATGTGTCAGTATGTCTGTCAGTGTATGTGTCAGTATGCCTGTCAATGTATGCGTCAGTATGTCTGCCTGTGTGTGTCAGTATGTCATAAATACATGCTTACATTCAAACGCCAACACCACATACAAACATATTCCAAACAAAAACCTGTTTACATTGAAACACACAAATACTGCTTAGTGCTAAATACAAACCTGCAAACATGGGCAAATGATAGAGCCCCAGCTGTCAAGTCATTGCTGGAGTTGCACGATAGATGGGGATCTACCTTTTAAACATCCTTGCAATAGGGAGGCCCAAAAAAATATTCTTGCACCTCTCTACTGTAGGTTGCCACTGTGTTAAGGGTGATAACATGATTGCACGCCTAGGGAGGGTGCACAGGGTCCAGGGGACCCAAGCAGATGCTTTGCCCAGAGTCCAATCAATATTAAAGACAGCCCTGACTGTATTCATCTGCCATGACTATACACCATTACAACCCTACATTCAAACACCAATACTACATACAAATACACCCCTGCATTCTAAAAGAAACACCACATGCAAACACACCACTGCATTCAAACGCCATTTCTACAAACAAATACACCCCTGCATTCAAACAGAAACACCACATGCAAACACACCACTGCATTCAAACACCATTTCTACAAATACACCCCTGCATTCAAATATGGGTACTACACAACTACACTCACACACCAATACTACACACATATACAACATATAGACACAACTGCTTTCAAACGCCAATACTGGACAAAAATACACCCCGTCATTCATACATCCATACTCCATAGAAAAAAAATGCAACACTGCATGAATGGGCAAATGGTAGATCCCCAGCTAGCAAAACATTCTGGGAGTTGTAGGGCAGTTGATAATATACCTGTAGTAGTTCCGCTACACGCTCTAAACTTATTTATGGATGTTAGTACATACTTCAAATGCAGTTTTACTGGCATATTATGATCATCATCTTCTAAATAAAATACAACAAATCAATACTGCTTTACATGTTACCTCCTTACCTTGATCAAACATATTTTTTTCTTTAAAGATTGGATAGTTTGTTAAAGGGACACTGTAGGCACCCAGACCACTTTAGCTCATTGAAGTGGTCTGGGTGCTATGACTCTTTTGCACTTAGTGCTACAATGTAAAATCTAGCAGACAGCCACTAGAAGGCTTCCGGAATCTAAACTGACTTTTGGTCCGTTATTTGATGCAGGACATCCTCACGGACATTCAGCATCAGATTTTTCCCATAGGAAAGCATTGAATAATGCTTTCCTATGGGGAGGTCTAAAGCGCGCGCATCCATTGCTGACGTCGACGGGGGAGGAACGTTGGTGGAGCCTGACCCAGCGCTGAGAAACATCGGCGCTGGATTCAGGTTTTAACCCCTTCAGCCCTGCGGGAGGGGGGTCGCGAGGGAGGGGGCACTGTAGGGTCTCTTTGAGCCCTTTGTTTTCCTGGCACTATAGGATCTCTTAAAGGACCAGTTCAATATTTCTTCTCACCCAGAAATATCTATCTCTGAAAGTAAAAAAGCAGAGTGAGTGAGAGAGAGTAAAAATCTACTAATGTCTCACAGGCAGACACATCTGTCAAACTTTGGTAGATTATATTGTAACTAAAACACTTAAAATGTTATTTGCTGTCTAACAAAGCTGTCTAATGAACCAGAAATACCAGATAGCAGGTAGGATGATCATTTCATTAACTATAATGTGATTTGCAAACGGAATGTCATGTGCATCAGCATGTCAACTTCTAACGCTGACCCTGCTTTCCTTTGTTGCATCAGACTGTGTAAATGAAATTTAAAAGCATATTATAGCTCTGCATCACATACTCTTTTGATCCAGCTTTACGGTGAATCTGATCACTGTTATTGGTGTAAGTACTGTATCGCAGGGAGCTTCAGAGACGATGATCAAAACGAAGCAATGGATTAACAGAACAAGAGATATGCATGCATAAATGCATTTCATGCATAAGGGGAGGGCCTGTTTTATAACTGTCCCCTAACAGTAAAGGCTTATTGAATATGTAGATCAGACTACAGCAAAAAGATTCTGACACCAAATATGATAATGGCAGTACCATATATACTGCGTTATACTTTGAAACAAAATACAATAAAATATTAAATATACATAATGCTGAATCATGTAGATATACTCCCAAATTAACCATAAGCGAAACTGGGGGAATGAGACACGAGGGGGCTGGAGGAATGAGACTTATGGGATGGCTGGGAGAATGAGACACATGAATGGACTGGGGGGAAATGAGACACGTGGAGGGGCTGAAGGAAACAAGACACAATGGGGGCCTGGGGGAATGAGACATGTGGTCAGATGAGATGCACGGAGGGGGTGGAGGAGAAAGAGACAAGGTGCTGGAGGGAAGGGACACACAAATGGGGCTGTGGAGAGAAAGAGTCACACAGAGGGGCTGGGGAAGGGGTAAAAGAGACAGACAGGAGAAGGGGCAAAAGAAACAGATAGGGACTTGGGGGGGGGAGGATGGAGGGGTGAAACACCCAGAGGGGCTGGGGAAAGGGACAAAAGAGACAAATATGTGAAAAAATAGCTACAGATATAGATTCCAGAAAACGACAGAAAATTTTAACTGGGAGAATGGCCAATCAGTAGCTTCTAATCAAGAAGTGTCGTGGACCAAACACACAAGCTTGTGGCAGTCCAATCACAGACTTTTGAGTGAGCTGTGTTACATTTCATTGATACATCTACCAAAGGCAGCCACTCTGAGCAAGCGTCTGCCACTTGAATTCAGCTCCATGGAGCAAAACTAGCAGGTGTAGCAGGATTCAATTTTGAAAGTGCCTATTTCAATAGAAAAATGAAAAAGAGAAGACAAACTTTTCAAACATAAATCACATCAGCAAGCTGAAGTACTGTTTGTGTTTGGATTGTTCCTTTAATATTTTGCACATCCCGATTCTGCTCTAACCTTAGCCTTAAGTAGTACTCCGCAGATGTGGCCAAAATAGTTAAAAACAAAAAGTTAGCATTTAGGAATTATAAAAAAACCCAGAGTGAGGGAGACAGAATGATCTATAAGATTAGGCAGAAAGAGGCTAAGCAAGTTATAAGAGCTTCCAAATCACACACAGAAGAGAAAATAGCACAGTCAGTAAAAAAGGGGATAAAACATTTTTTAGATACATAAATGAGAAAAGAAAAGTAAAACAAGGATTAGTTAGATTAAAAACAAAAGAAGGAAGGTATGTAGAAGAGGATAAAGGTCAGCTGACTGCCTCAATGAATATTTTTGTTCTGTATTTACAGATGAAAATGAAGGAAAAGGACCTCAGTTGAGAAAAAGGATAAATGAGTCATTTATTACACGTGAGTTTACAGAGGAAGAGGTTCTATTTCAACTGTCAAAAGTAAAGACAAATAAGTCAATGGGACCTGATGGAATACACCCAAAGCTATTAAAGAGCTTAGTGGTGTACTAGCAAAACCATTAACAGATTTATTTAACCAATCATTGTTAAACAGGAGTAGTCCCAGAAGATTGGAAGTTAGAATGTTGTGCCCATTTACAAGAAAGGTAATGAGTGGAGGCCAGTAAGCCTTACAGTAGTAGAAAGTGATGGAAACCAGTTCCAGGATAGGGATAAAAACACTATTATGGGTTTGCATATCATGCTTATAGTAAAAGAAAAAGAAAAGGCTAGATTTATACTTTAGTAGCAAATGAAACCTTGCAATAATCTAAACAATATATATATATTGTGATATATAAAACTTGCTTGCTTACTGAACTGCTTCAGGGGTTTAAAGATTGTTACTTGTTTCACACTTTATAGAAAGTGCCAAGTTATCACGCCCAGTGCACCATTTAGGTGAGATGTGCCATGGCTGCCTTGCACGTCTGTCTGGGACAGTCGTACGAGGCAGTTATCGATTGGAGTAAAAATTAAAAAATGTAAGGTAAAATGTATAAATTGTTGCCATTTGCCTTCCTACCAGTTAATTTAGTTGACTAACAATTTCTGTCTGATTTAGTCCACTAAAATTCTAGAGATTTAGTCTACTAAAATACGACTAAAACTAAAATAATTCAGATGACTAAAATACGACTAAAACTAAAATGGATTTTTAGTCAAAGGTGCACAATGTGCACTGTACCCATAGCCACATAAATGCTATACTATGCTTGATACCCAGTTTGCACCAGTTGTTGTGGCTGTGCAAACCTGCTTGTTTACCAAATGCACAAATAAAATAAAGAATTTAAAAAAATAAAAATAATAATCATTCTCAGGAACTAGATACAGCAGTAACCTAAACAGTCTCACACTACAATGAGTGACACAGGCTTTATCCCATTCCCTCACAGGAACATCAAAGAGACTTTCTCCATCAGTGCCTAAAATCGGTGTCAAGAAGAATCTGGTTTGGAAATATTATTATTATTATTGGTATTTATATAGCACCAGCTTATTCCGCAGCGCTTTACAATAAAAGGTGAATTTACCAAATGAGACAATAACAAGATGTAATAGGAACAATAGGTAATTGAGGACCCTGCTCAAACAAGCTTACAGTCTAGAGGAGGTGGGGTATAAAAACACAATAGGAAGGATATTGAGAGAGACATCAAATAGACATGGTGGGAAAGTGGCAGGACTGAAGGTGAAAGTGGAATGTGGCTCTATAGGAGAGAGCAAGACAGGAGAAGGTCACTAGTAGAGTGGAGAGACCGATAGGGGACAAACCTATGAATCAGTGAAGAAATATGATTGGTTTATTATTCCTCCTTTTCTTCCCTCTATTGGTCACTTCTTGATCTGTGAATAAAATGAACCTTAGTGACTCCCCACTAACCATCAATCACCATTTTTTTCTACCTTTTGATTGGACAAGATATGCAGCCCAGATCATTTGGCAGACATATTGTCCAGCAAACCACAATTGGCCCAAATTCAGGCGAATTTTAGTTTGGACAAAACTGAATGCTCAAGTCTAGTCCAAATCTCTTTAGCCATAGATGACACTGGACTACAATTCACATTATTCTTTAGAAAACTAAGGCTATTGATGAATCATGGCATTAGTATTATTTAGGTCAACAGCTTCATTAAAGAAAGGTTGTCTGTGCATGTGGTTCTGTTCTGTACTGTTTATTAACATTTTGGGTCCAGTAATGGTGTAAAGTACAGCAAGCAGTGGACCTCAGCATCAGTTGCCACGTATTGAAAAAAAATCTGATGAGAACAGACATGGTGAGGAAATAATTAGTGTATCGTCAAGTTTAGAGGTGTACAGACGCATTACTTAAGTGTTCACATCAGTAAAATGCAGTAATATTGATGACAATTCATTCACACAATTTAGCAGACTGTACATGTAGTTTGAGGTCCAGTATGGACAATTATGGAATTTTTACAGTTTGTTTCTCACTGCAGATCTTGCTATTGTGATCCATTTCTTCTATGGACTGAAGTCCAAGAGCTTTTAGAATAGCAAAGAAAAGGAAGGAATTTGGTCCATACCAATATGACTTGTGAGTGTCAGATCTGCTGGTTTATCTACATTTATTCATTGCATTGCATTGTTATCCATTTCCTCATTAAACCCAAGACATGTGTCTCACTCCAGAGCATGTGTTCTTCCTCATAAATCAGCTGGTCAGCATCCTTCTCCAGTTTGCCTGGTGGCAGCTGCATTCCTGCATACTGCCATTTGCTATTTGATAATCTGCTATGTATGTGTAACTAAATAATAATATTAATAGTAACACATTTCAAATATAATAAATATTTCAATTGGTCATTCTACACATGCAAGTAGTTATGGCAAAATGTGATAAAGACCCTTAGTAGGGTGTTTTAAAAAATAAATAAAAAATTAGATCACGTTTGGAATGCATACATGCAGGTATATGTACATCTCAGATGCTTTTAGGTGTAAAATACCTAAAACGTTCTATTTCCCACTATCCTCCCTCCCAAAGAAAAACAAAAAACATCAACTTCTCTTTTACTTGCTCCATGATTTTGAGGACACTTAAGAGCAAAGGTGCTCATCTTTTTAAAAGCTGAATGCCACTTTGAAAAGTTAGTAGAGGTACAGACAACAGACAATAAAAACACTTACTCTGCTTATTTTTTTTTTTTACTAATAGTCAAATGTTAGGAAATATTCCTGTGTAGCTATTCAGAGGCAGTGCACCAGATGACAATCAGTATGTGCTTCCATAGAGGGAGAATATTCTGGACACGTGCATTCTTAAATTGACAAAAATCTATCCTTTTCCCCTTTCTACTATTATATCTCCACTTTGGCTGAATTTTTTTTTTCACAATGGTAGAATTTTGGCTGAATTTTGGTCCGAACAATTTGAGAACGTAATCTCAACAGACAAAAAAGCAGTAAAAATTGTGCATTTGATTGTTGACATGCAAAAACAGCTACAATATTGCCTGGCCTATAAGAATATGAATTGACTAGCCCTTACACTATGGAGCAAATGCCCAGCATTAGGCTGGACATCCTCCACTACCACCACCATACCAGGCATTGTGGGCTGCCACAGGTGTGTTGTCAAGGAAAGAAAGGCAAGCAGGCCAGTAGGAGCACTCCATACATTTGGGAAATCAGGTAGGCGATTTTGTTAGGCTGCGCTTTTGAGTAGGGCCTGGAATGAAATCCAACAAAATGCTCAAGAGTGAGCTGGTTGACAACTATTGACACATTCTATGGGATGATGAGGACTCCAACTGTCCCTGTCCAACCTGCCTCTGTTGATAACTGGCAGTATCCTTAACGTCTCACTGCTCTGCTTAAGAGTGGAAGAGATGTGATAGTGGAGGTGGTAGAGCTGCTGCATAACCCTTTTTTAAATGCCCGTCATTGTAATGTAGTTTAAAAATGGGTTGCTGCTTGGTGGATTTACTACTACTGTAGCCTCAGTAATAAAAACTAGTGAGATGACCCTTCACCTGCCCCCTTCTCACATTCTTGATGTACAATTTGCTGCCATTTGGCCCACTTGGGTGCACTGAACATGATCCCAAAGTTTGCTTTGTAGCACAGTACCAATTGCCTTGTGACTGCTAGATGTTGGTGGATTTGTATCAGTGGAAGCTGTCACACTAGCCTTTATTTGACCAACTTAATTAAGTTAGTTAATTAATGCTAATGGATATGTTGATTGTGGCAGTACAAGTAATGTAACATTGACAATTGGTACAGCTAATGTCTTATCTGTCTCTACTGGATGAGCCAATTTTACAGCAGATGGACTTGAAGATGCTGGACAATATACAGTAGGGGACTGCACACTAGCTGCCAAAGGAAATACTGGTTATGAAAGTGGTGGTGGAGTACTTGTGGTAGAATTGTCAATGGTCAACATAACAAAGGTCTTCCAAATATCAGAAGCCATGGCTCTACTGCTGATGATGGATTGAGGAACAAGACCCTCACTTAAATTTGACTTGGAAGTAATATGTTCCATATATGATGGTGGGCTTGCTTTTATTACAGTAAATTTGGAATAGGGAAGTTTGTGTAAATTATCACAATTTCATTCAGCAAAAATAGTTGCTTGTATTTCACACACACACCTACGCACGTACAAACGCGCATTCGTGCTGAAGGTTACTTTGGATTTTCAAATGATTTGTAATAAATATTATATTTCCTGTGATATTTGGAGTGGGTAGTAAGGAGCCAGCAGTGGTCATGTCCATGATAAAGGCCTCTGTGTAGGCCAAAACATTGCACTTTTTGTTCCAATAAACCTGCCTTCCTGCAGCAACCCTGAGTGGCTGGACCTAATTTATTTTAACATGATATAATTAGTGCCATGGACAACATATCTGCCCTCAATGGGGCTATGTGTGCCAGGATGACAGTCTATCCATAAACTACTGCAGTAGCACTTATGGGGCTTAAAATGCACTGAAATTAACTCAAATTGCATCGCATGTGCAGTTATACAGATGCTCACGATGCACTTTCCCTTAGTACTCCTGTCACTGGTGACAGTGTCAGTATGTTAGGTGATCAGTGAAACTAAGGAAAAATTGTGTGTCAGATGGAGAGACACTGTGATGAGGCAGGTCTGCAATTCACTCATTGAACTCTCAATGTAAGGACTATATGACCATGTGATTATGTTTGTTAAATGCTTAAACAATTTCCCTGCATTATATAAAACAGATAAATGCTAATATAATGTTTTCGTCTCCACATCCCCAACTCTCATCAGTTAGAGGAGATTGGGACATTATTGAATAACCATGCACTGCTTGTCTGGTACTGCTACACATGTGCCCCATCTTGCATATAGGTTTCCGAACTCCCAAATGCATGGCGTTCATATTGAAAAAAACTATTTATCTCTCTCCGAAACAACTTTCTACTTCATATTTATTATTCTTTGCTTATTAAACCTTAGTAGCTAAGCCGATAACATAATGTCTTTCTATTACAACCAGCAGCCTAGCTTTGTGATATATTAGTTGTTGTGGCTTTAGTTTTTATCTGCTGCAACTTGTTAGTCACAGCAAGAGAAACTCCACAAAATTAATATTTAAATGTACAAACATATGTTTTGAAGACTGTACTTTTTGAGAATAGTAATCAGATATGTATATTAGTGCTGAATGGCTCGTAAACTGTGAATTTTTTTTACTGTGCGTTGTTTTGAAGTTTCATTCAAACATTTAAGATTTTCTAACTTGTTTTCAGATTATTGAGCAATTTATGTTGATAATTATCTGACACTGTGAATTAAAATGCCAGTAAAGGGTTAAACGGGCAGGTCCCACACCTGTTAAATGTGAGCATACAGGGTGTGTTTACTCAGGTACGGGACAGATCTATATAAACTGAGAGGATTCTACAGTGGAGAGACTGAAGGAGAATCAAAAGAAGAAGAAAACGCAAAAGAGAGAAAAAGGAATCGGAGAAGGCAAGGAAAAAAAACAGGTAGAAGAAAAGAGGGGGTTGGGAGAAAAATAAAAAATAAAAAAAGAAGATATTTGCATGATAGAGAAGGAAGGCAAACATTAAGATTTGGTAGATAGTGTTGAGATAAGAAGTGCAGAAAAGAACAAGGAAATATATGAAAGGAGATATGGAAAACAAATATTAAGGAATAAAAAAGCTATACACAGAGAAACAGATTAACAGAACAAGTGAAGGGAGAGGAAGGAAGAAAGTGACATCCCTCACACCAGTGACACGTGTCTCTTCAAGGATTTAAAGCATCGTCAGCGAGAGACAGAGGGAGGAGAAAGGACTCAAACAAGGGGGTGGGAGAAAGAAGGGAGTAAAATAAAGGGGAACATAGAAAGTAGACAGTAGGTAAAACAGAGGTGTCACATAGTTGAAACCAATGACAGTGTGACAACCCGCAGGTGGCACATTACAGAAAGGTAAAATTCAAAACTTAGAAAAACAGCTTTGAAACAATGTATTGTTCTAAAAGAAACACCTGCAGTTAGTTATGCATTCAATGCTATGTTTTACTTTTTGATTATTTAGCAGAATAATTAGCTATTCTATGATGCCTCTACTGTCTTTTATGTCCTAGGTTTAATTGTCTGTTTCTGCAACATTTTTGGTTTAGAATAATTTTGTGCAAGATTAGTGCAATGTTTAAAATTAGTTCCATCCCTTTAAGTTTAGTAATTAGAGGATAAAAGGCGGAGGTGAATTGGGGAATTTCTGCGGGTTCTTATCTTTTTTAGCTTAGATCCTATAATCTTAAACCAAATGTTCAGAAGTTGTATACTTATATACCTGATTACACGTAATTTAAGAAATTGTGATATTATTCATCCAAATGTTCCAAACTAATTTCAAGAATAATGTTCACTTGTAAAATATTGAAAACTGATTTTTACCTAAAGCCATTGATAAACTTTTCAATAAAATTGAATGCAGTATTGTTTTAGAATGTATATGTTTTATTAATCCCATAGAAATACAAAATCAGTTTACCAAATTTAAACATATATATGTGTGTGTGTGTGTGTGTGTGTGTGTATGTATGTATGTATATATATATATATATATATATATATATATATATATATATACACACATTTTAATAATATATTCCTTTATTTATTATACAAGAGTGTTGCAAGAGAAATACCCTTTCTCTGAAACATTTAAACATTTTTTACATTTTTTTAATGGAAAATAAACTATTTTAAATGTGAAAATTAATCCACAGGGATGCATTAAAACATTGTTTATATATCTGTAAATATCTTATATAATTCATTCCCTGGTGAATTACTAACTTTGTCCAGTCTTATTATTCAAAGATTTTTAATGAGCACTGCTTAAAACAATCAAAATATTTGGCAAGAACAGCTTAGTCTGGCATTAAACAGCAAAGCGAAGAGTGTGTTAAAGTTCCATCAGTTAATCAACTGACAAACATGACATTAAACATTTGCTTTTGTATTTATTAGTATGGTCTAAATGTGAAAATCAGTTGGTAAAATAAAGTTATCAATGTAGTGCTTTAAAAAATGAATTTGAAGAGTAGGATTATTCCATAGTTAACAACAGAGTGATATGATGATCAGAAAAGTTATGCCTATTTCTTTTTTGGGGGTAGAGGGTGGGGGTGGTAGAGGTCTCCGCAAGCATAGGCTCTGTCTCATTTTATGCAATAATATCTAATTAGTCAATATTGTATACACAGTAAATTCTTTTTATTTTTTATGCCATGCTGACACACATATGGCTAAATTTACCACACGATAAGTTTATGTAATATTGCTTCAACAGACATTTAGAGACCAGAATTAACTATTCTTTTTCATGGCAAAAATAGGCTGAAAATTAATAACTTGAATACACAGCTTAATGTAACGTTTGTTTCCATAGGCCACCAATAAACTTAATTAATACAGGAATCCTTTTCATAAAACCTTTTATTCCACAAAAGAAGAGCTAAGAGCACAGTGTTCTGGTGGAATCGAACAATCTGACCTCAATATATCCATGGGTCCTATTTTAAGTACCAATTCTTTGCCTCTTATCCCTGTTTGGGATGATCTCTTTGTGCAGACTGTGGCCCCTTTAACAGGCTTAGAAATGTCTTTATCTCTGCTCAGCCACTGGAATATATGGGATTTCACCACTTAGCAACGGATATAGGATTTACAACACATATGTACTTGCCATGTAATACATTCTATGAATCTGAAATTTTGTAGCACAAAGTTTATATTAGTTTATACTAATTGTATATGTCATGCTGTGCATTATGCGTTGTAATAAATATATTGCTAGAAGTTAAGTGAGATACTGGTATAATTTTGTACTAAGCGTTTAGGTTTTTCTAGGTTATGTCAATGAATTTACTGTGCAAGAATAAATTATAAACAAACCTTTTAGCTGTTCTGCTTGAAGCAACACAGAAGAAAAGTATCAACAGAATACATTTTAAAATAAAATATATTGGAGTATAGATGCAGTGTTGCCCTCGAAATGTATGAAGACTGAAACTGCAGTAGCAAAAATGAATAATTTAGGACAATTCAAAAGCTCACATTTTTCATTAAATTCTTGTATTTAATCAGTACCTGATGTAATGATGAATCGTTTTCGTAACCCCATTTATTCCAAAACTGAAATTCTTGCAGGGCAGCTCTTTACTACTTCTGAAACATATTAAATTGATTAGTAAAGGCAGCAATGAGGTAAAACTTTTTTTTTTAAATGAAATAGGCCTCCTATTTTATCACATTCCACTCAGCAGGTTGGGTGTCAACATTCTGATCAGGTGGGTATGAAACAGACAACTTGTTGATACCCATTCCAAGCTTTTAGAGCAGTTAACCACAGCTTCCTCCAATTTCTGTATCCAATGAACTCAGGAGTGTGAGTAGTGAGCTTGAGTGAATTGCTTGCATGTGCCAAAACATATCCCACCACCATAAGAAGTCCTGTGGATTCCCAAATCTGGTTTTAATGGTATATATCTCCCTAAATATGATGCTAGCATATTGTCCAACCATTCCTAGAAATATGTACCACTAACAAACATTAACTATATTGAACTTGATGTCAGATATGTGACAGTCTGGCACAGCCAAACCACTCACATACATGAAGAGGTGCATACAAGGTGGTGTAAATGTGCTGTGCCATAGCTGTGTATGTAAGCATATAGATGGAAAGTGGATGGCCTGTTAAATTTGTTTGTTGGCATCCTCTGGCACTGTATCTTTGGTTGAGATGGCTGATACTTCTAGAGTCTAAAAATGAGCGTGTAATGCACCCTATAAATTAAGTGAGCAAAAAACAGGTGCAAGAGAATTCTGAGAACAGGCAGCAGCTAAAATAGCCTGCCCTTCGGTGGGTCCCCGCTCAGTTTTCAAGCTAGTTTTAGCTCATCTTGTGCCATTACAGAAAGAACATCTCTGAAACATATCAGACTGGTCCCACCCATACAGGCAGTCCAGATCCGAAATGCCAGCAAGTTCCCTCTGCACGAGGGACACAGCAACCCCAGACGATTGTTTCAGCCTTGTTAGGCATCATCAGTGAGGCATAGCTGATATCTCTCTAGGCACCATGAGAAAGGGGTCCACGCCTGGATTACCTTTTAAACTTATGGAGAGCAAAGAACGGGCGCAAGTAACCCACATTCTTTTGCTCATTAGACTATGGAAAGGGAGAAGGGTGCTGTGCAAGTGCCTGTTTGTTAAACTGGGATCCAGGAGGCTTCTGCAGTGAAAATGGGGTAGAATTAATGTAAGTGGCACTTGCCTCAATCCCTTACTTCACCCACACACCCCTGTACATATGATTTTAAGAATAAGGGGTATACTATTGGCTTTATACTACATTATAGAGGCTTCTGGGATCCCCACATTAATAAATTATCCAACATATAACAGCAAATGTTACGGAAAAGAGTTAGAGGAGCCATGGCAGTTATTAATTTTCACAGTCTCTTCCAACTACAACAAATTAGGTTGCAGAGAAGAAGAGTGATACAACTTTGGTCCTATTTTGTTGCTGGAGACCACCAAGTTTTATACTCTGTGCATTCAGTTTCAGACTAATTGCAATCAGTCCGAATTTCATTTTGCTGACGCTGTATACTGAAATGACTAAACGACTGGTACAATGGATGAGAATTGTTAATTTGCTTTGGGATTTGGAGTTCCACCTGTGGAACAAAACAAGTGATTATTGATGGGGGAAAAAGGTTGGTGGCTCAGGGGCAACAACTAAATGTTGATTTTATTCAAAGATAAGTGAAATGGATGAACCAACAGAACGAAAAAAAAAGCAGGAGCCGTAAAATACATAATATTTATGTTATGTATATATTTTGCAGTACACTTTTTGACCCTATTTCTCACCCTCTTTTTGATTGTCCAAATTGTTTTCCTGAATAGTTTTCATAGATGTTATTCGGGCAAGCCAAACCCTTAAAAGAACAAGTGTCAGAAGTTCCGGACTAAATTTTATATTTGATAAGGCCAAAACACATTTTTCCACTGTGCACAATTCTGCTCAGTGGCAACGTGCTTGTTTTTTCATTGAATGTGCATATGAATTATTTTAGTAAATATTTGAATTTCATTTTGGGTTTAAATTTGGAAGTTAATGTAGTTCTAAAGATTTTTTTGGAGCTTAACAAATAACCTCTATGTGTATATAGACAAATGTTATGCCTGGTTTTGAAATTGGTGCTGATAATAACTTCTTATAATCCAAGTGTTAGGAACACCATTTCATATCATATCATGCCTGGTCATTGGTACTTGAGGAGTTGAGGAATAAGAATCAAGTGAAGCAGGTTGATATAAAGGAGATAAGACACTTGTTAAAAGTTATTGAAGGAATAATGTTAATCAATCGTTTAGGTTAAATATTTCTGTATATTTTCTCTAGACATTAATGCCCAGCAGTGTGAAGAAATGGGCAGCAGCAGTACAAACCTCCCTGGCGGCACTCATTCCCATCTGGATCTTCAGGATTCCACTCTTACCAGTCTGGATAAACCTCCAGAAGAGGGGACATCTGGTTACTATCTGCCATTCTGCGATATGCTCTTTGGAGCTGACGGAGGTAACTGGGTATCAAAAGGATTAATACCAGTTGGACATCGGGGGGAAGTGCAAAAGGAACCAGAGCAATGCCCTATTATAGACAGCCAGGGACTACACCATGAATTGGAATATCAAACCTCATTACATATGGAAGATCATTCTTTGGAGCAAATGCAGACTATGGTAGTGGGGGAAGTGTTGAAAGACATTGAAACTGCATGTAAACTTCTCAACATATCAGCAGGTAAGTTGATTTTTGATATTACATTATAATTTTAACATGCAAAGTCATATGCTATTCCGTAAGGATAAAAAAGATGTGCATATGAATTATTTTTAGTAAATATTTGAATTGCATTGTGGGTGACATTTGGAGGTTAAATGTTGTAGTGCTAAAGTTTTATTTTTAGCTTAACAAATAATACAAACTTACATTACTAACGCCATGGCGCCGCTGTCCCTAGTTAGATTCATGTCCACCCAGTTTCTGATGTTAAAACCTGTATAAAAAGCTTTTTTTTTTCTAGCACCAACACTTTCTCTGCATTCTGCACCTCTCCAAATTAAATTAAGTTCTTTCCTATGGGCTTCTGTGTCCTGTGACCAAGTTTTACTTGGTCATTGCTGCCGGGACTCCTTTAGTTGGTGTCTTCTAGACAGCCAATAGAGGGTGTTTAATCCTGCAATGTAAGCATTGCAATTTCTACAAAACTGCAATGTTTTACATTGCAGGGTTAAAACTACAGGGACACTGCACACAGACCACTTGCTTAAAGGACCACTATAGGCACCCAGACCACTTCAGCTTAATGAAGTGGTCTGGGTGCCAGGTCCAGCTAGGTTAACCCTTTTTTTTAATAAACATAGCAGTTTCAGAGAAACTGCTATGTTTATGTTAGGGTTAATCCAGCCTCCAGTGGCTGTCTCCTGACAGCCGCTAGAGGCGCTTGCGTGCTTCTCACTGTGAAAATCACAGTGAGAAGACGCCAGCGTCCATAGGAAAGCATTGTGAATGCTTTCCTATGGACTGGCTGAATGCGCGCGCGCGCGTCTTCTGCATGCGCATTCAGCCATCTGGATCTTCAGGATTCCACTCTTACCAGTCTGGATAAACCTCCAGAAGAGGGGACATCTGGTTACTATCTGCCATTCTGCGATATGCTCTTTGGAGCCGACGGAGGTAACTGGGTATCAAAAGGATTAATACCAGTTGGACATCGGGGGGAAGTGCAAAAGGAACCAGAGCAATGCCCTATTATAGACAGCCAGGGACTACACCATGAATTGGAATATCAAACCTCATTACATATGGAAGATCATTCTTTGGAGCAAATGCAGACTATGGTAGTGGGGGAAGTGTTGAAAGACATTGAAACTGCATGTAAACTTCTCAACATATCAGCAGGTAAGTTGATTTTTGATATTACATTATAATTTTAACATGCAAAGTCATATGCTATTCCGTAAGGATAAAAAAGATGTGCATATGAATTATTTTTAGTAAATATTTGAATTGCATTGTGGGTGACATTTGGAGGTTAAATGTTGTAGTGCTAAAGTTTTATTTTTAGCTTAACAAATAATACAAACTTACATTACTAACGCCATGGCGCCGCTGTCCCTAGTTAGATTCATGTCCACCCAGTTTCTGATGTTAAAACCTGTATAAAAAGCTTTTTTTTTTCTAGCACCAACACTTTCTCTGCATTCTGCACCTCTCCAAATTAAATTAAGTTCTTTCCTATGGGCTTCTGTGTCCTGTGACCAAGTTTTACTTGGTCATTGCTGCCGGGACTCCTTTAGTTGGTGTCTTCTAGACAGCCAATAGAGGGTGTTTAATCCTGCAATGTAAGCATTGCAATTTCTACAAAACTGCAATGTTTTACATTGCAGGGTTAAAACTACAGGGACACTGCACACAGACCACTTGCTTAAAGGACCACTATAGGCACCCAGACCACTTCAGCTTAATGAAGTGGTCTGGGTGCCAGGTCCAGCTAGGTTAACCCTTTTTTTTAATAAACATAGCAGTTTCAGAGAAACTGCTATGTTTATGTTAGGGTTAATCCAGCCTCCAGTGGCTGTCTCCTGACAGCCGCTAGAGGCGCTTGCGTGCTTCTCACTGTGAAAATCACAGTGAGAAGACGCCAGCGTCCATAGGAAAGCATTGTGAATGCTTTCCTATGGACTGGCTGAATGCGCGCGCGGCTCCTGCATGCGCATTCAGCCGAAGAGGAGGAGAAGAGAGAGGAGAGAAGGAGGAGAGCTCCCCACCCGGCGCTGGAGAAAGAGGTAAGTTTAACAACACTGTGACAACACTGAAGAAATCACACTCTGCTACAATGTAAAGTAGTAAGTGTACAGCCTGTGTAACAGTGTAAACTTGCTGTCCTCTCAAATATATATTTTTAGTTATGTATATTTACATTATATATAAAAAAAATATATTTTATTTTTGAAAATTGCACTTTTTTTTTTTTTTATCTAGCTGAGCAGCCATGTCGGTCAGACTCACGGTTACCTGGTCAACTGCTGCTCAGCCTCAACTTGTCTGCAGCTGTGGTTGCTCTGTGTGAAACTTCAAACACAGGCGTTTTAGATTGATCAGCAGTTGGCCAGTTAACTGTAGAGTCTGACTTAATATGGGCTGCTCATCCAAATAAAAGTGCAAAGAAATTATTATTATTTTTTTTCTTTATCTGGGTGACCTTCTCCCAAGTGTCCCACTTGCCAGGGATACATTCATGACATCTATGAAGCTAATATCATGCTCCAGACCCTTTTGCTCTCAGTTTAGGTGATTACAAAATGTTAAATCCCTTAATGACTATTGATGCATTCTTAAAATATTACATTGTACATGATGCATTTTTTAACAGTATATAAAATAAATAAATCAATAAATTATTAAAATGTGTGAGCTCATATATATGTGCAATGATATATATATATATACATATCAGGTAATTAGGTAAATATCCACCAATCCCTGTGTACATTCCTTTACATGAGAAGCAACAGCTTTGAAAATACATACAAATATTTTAGATTTTATGAGCAAGTGTGGCTGTTTGTGATTGTTAATTACTCTCTGCTGGTAATTTGCTGAGTCAAAAGATTGATGAATTTTAGGCTCAGACATGTTCTCTTTCACTTGCCTTTATCCAACACCATGCTTTGCTCTTGGACACTGACCGCCACCATCAATCCATCTACATACCAGACACCACCATCAAAACTCCAACTTGCTTCCCAATCCACCATATAAATGCACACATAACCATCACTATTATATGCTCACATACTATCTAGCTAAGCACTTTGTATAAAAGAACTTCAATTGGTAGATCTCAGCTTACAGGCAGGGCCCTCTCTATCGTTTGTGTTTTTCTCTATATATTGCATGTTCTTCCCTAATGGTACAGCGCGGCAGATATGTTGGCACTTTATAAATACCAGTAATAAATAAATATCAAAACCATACTGACCTCTGCTGCTATGCCCCTATTAAATCCAAAAACAGTGTCTGCTTGCCGTCACATTGCAACCCCACACTTGCACCCACTCTCTTAAAATCCACTATCTATTCCCCTTAAGTCTAGGTGCTGTACTCAATGTCAGGTCCAGCACCCCTCTATCTTTGCTACACACAAAGGCATTGCACCACCCAAACAGACTATGCTGTAGATGTGCCAAATTCAGCAATTAAAATATGCCATTTAATATGCATCTTTTTAAACATGGCACACAGGCTACACACCGGGTCCTAATGTCCTGGAACAAATTGCTATAGGATTGCTAAATTCAGCAATACAATGATTAGTTTAATATGTAGATTTTAACATTGATGTACAGGTTACACACTAGATCTTGGTGGCAAAGAAGCCATTAGTTGCTATCCACAAATGTCCTAGCCACACTTCTAAGTGAAAGGAGAACTCATTGAACTCAGGGGCTGTTACAGATTGTCAATGTCAGCATGTTATACGTCTAATGTCCTGGAACAAAGTTTGTGAGCAATACCCACACCAGCTCACACTGCAGAACAAGAAAAGGACTTGAGTTAATTTACTTGCAGCACACAGCTCTGTCACTGATCCATTCCATTCCACACCTGAATAGTGCAAAGAGAAGAGTTAAGATATCACACGTCTTGATGTTATAACTCTGCACCTTGTCAGGCACGTACCAGAATGCAAGAGAACCATGGCACATATGTGTACAGCTGGTGTATGCAAACACCTGGCGCATCAGCCACTGTGCCAAAAGAAAAATTGAACTAAATGGGGGAGTGGTAGGATATATGGAAAATTGAGGGTAATTTTGTGAACAGGATAGAGTAGGTTAAACAGTTATGGGGTGGGGTAATTGACTAGGGAAAGTGGGGCCATAAATTGTGATGAGGGTTCATTGTTTTGGGGGGGGAATTTGGGTGGGAAATTGTGGAAGGACGCTGCTTTATTAGACAGGGTAATGTAAATTGTCGAGGGAAATCAATTTGCTGGAAATAAGTATAGAGATGTGAATATGGTAAGTAAAATATTGTTTGGGGGTAACTGGCACTGGGAAATGGTGGTGTGAATAGGGTATGGAGAGTAGTTGGCATGGGTAAGTGCAGCTGTACATTGTAAAGAGATTAATGACCAGGGGAAAAAGTAAGGTTGTAAATTGTGGACAGAGTGGTTACTTAGCATATTAAAATAGATATGTAAATTATTGAGGTGGCAAAATTGACTGGAGAATTGAGAATGTGAACATAGTTAGGTGAAATATTAGCAAGAGAGTATTGTGATATAAATATTGTAAGGCTAGTCACTTGGCAAGAGTCTATAGGAGAATTTTGAGGGACATTGTAGCATGTGTAATTGCCAGGAGTATGTGGACGTAGTAAATAATGGTAAGATTAATTCTTTGTTAGAGTAAAGTATTAATGTATATTGTTGAGGGGGATTAATGGTCAGTAGTATTAAAGGGCCACTATAGTGCCAGGAAAACATACTCGTTTTCCTGGCACTATAGTGCCCTGAGGGTGCCCCCACCCTCAGGGACCCCCTCCCGCCGTGCTAGATGGCGAGGAAAGGGGTTAAACTCACCTTTATTCCAGCGCCGGGCGGGGAGCTCTCCTCTCCGCCTTCGATCCTCCTCCTGGGCTGAATGCGCATGCGCGGCAAGAGCTGCGCACGCATTCAGTCGGTCTCATAGGAAAGCATTCATAATGCTTTCCTATGGACGCTTTCGTGTTCTCACTGTGATTTTCACAGTGAGAAGCACGCAAGCGCCTCTAGCGGCTGTCAATGAGACAGCCACTAGAGGATTTGGAGGCTGGATTAACCCATTTATAAACATAGCAGTTTCTCTGAAACTGCTATGTTTATAAAAACATGGGTTAGCCCTAGCTGGACCTGGCACCCAGACCACTTCATTAAGCTCTTTATTAAGCTTCATTAAGCTCTTTACTTGAAGTTCAAGATCAGCCATATAAAAGGTTACAATACCCTCCAGATTTAAAACTATAATCACGGGATGTAAATGACAGCAAGCAACTTGGCAATTTGGCAGGTACTCATTAATCTCCACTGGGACCATGCTCATGTAACAGGTCACGCTGACATTACACATGTCAGAGACTGGCCAATTTATGTATGTTCCCCCAGCATATTCTTCCATGTCCCAATCCCAGTTGCATGTATGTGCATGTAAATATTTATGCATGTATACTATATATACCACTTCAAATTTAAATACATCAAAAGGGTTACTCCAGGCACCATGACCATGCCTATTGTCTGGATGTGCAGTGAAACCCTGCACATACCGAGTTTTGGGATGTTATCAACCAGCCCAAATCTAGAATTGAGGGCTGACTAACCTCAATTCTGTGTAAATATCTATGCACAGAATCAAATGTATTGGCTGAGACCTGACGTGGCAGAATAGGTACCTGACTTCTGCAGCTCTGCAGAAGCCAGATGATGTAAACACTGCTTCAGAAAACCCTCAGCACCCAGCAGGACCAGGAAAGAGAGCAAACCATTTTAAAATAACCACTACAGCCCAGTTGTGATAGTTGGAATAACCCTTTAAGTTTTATATTTCTTAGCTGCTTTGTGTAAAAAAGTTAAATAAACTGTGAAGATACTTAAAGGGATGAAAGGAAAGGACCTATGAGGATGTAAATGGGGATTTATTTTTATTCCCCCCCCAAAACCACAACTCTATGACCCTCTTTCCCTACCACGACTCTATTTCTCTTTGGAATTAAAGTTCCATTCTACCTTCTCTTTCCCTGCCACGACCCAAATTCTGTCTGTCATTAATGTTCCACTCTACCTCCCTCTGTCTTCCTTTCCCCAAGGTTCAGTACGCAGAACCTCCTCACTTATTGACTACTTACACTGGGAGGGTGCCAGGGAAATCCTGGCACCATAACTGCTACAACGGGAGTGTTCCTTTAAGAGAGAACATGTGAAAGGATGAGTGAAATAGCGCATAGTACAGTAAACACAGTACTATAAATACGAATAAATGAATAGAATTTTTAAATGAATGAACGAAGAACTCTTCAATCGTTTGTTTTATTACAAGGAGGGAGCTACCGGCGCGCAGTCCCTTCCTTGTAATATGTAAAAATAGAAGCGGCAGGGAGCAGTGCTCCCCGCCACTTTCTAAGCCCCCAGTGTCCTCACTCACTCTATGGGGGTCAATATGACCCCCATAATAGCATAAAAGAGAATAAAATCTCTCGAAGGCCCCTACTCGCTATGCCGCGAGTAGGGGCATGTCTACTATGCAGTGAGCAGCCAGTGTCTTCTCATTGTTAGAAAAAAGCCCCCCCTCTAACAAATGCCCTGGGGTGGGGCATCTACTAACTAGTGGGGGGGAGACATAGTCCCCCCCCAATCCCCTCCCGTGTCACGCGAGTGGGGGCTATAAAAGTAAACAGGGGACATAGGGTCCCCCTTGGCCTCCACCCATCACCCATGAACGGCGGGTGGGGGCCCAAAATAACAATAAGGGGGGGACCTATTGTCCTCCCCCCGGCCCCCACCCCTGAGCAGTGGGTGGGAGCCCTAAATAACAATAGGGGGACACCTATTGTCCTCCCCCCCCCCACCCCAAGCGGTGGGTGAGGGCCCTAAATAACAATAAGGGGTTTCCTTTTCCTTTCTTATGTGATGTTTTGAGTGATATTGTAAACATTTGTATTTATTTATTTAGTATTTGTGATCTAAATATAAATTTAGGTATTGAGGAGATTCACAAAAATTCTAAAATGTTCTCCATTTTGTTGAAGTCAATTAACAAATCACATGGTTCTGTTTTTACAATTTAGGATCCACATTTGATATAGCCAGCATGGTCAGGCATATATTACCAATTAAATTGCAGTTTGTTTTATTTCAATACTTCTATATTTGTGTAATTTCTATACAGCTAATGTCAACCAACAGGATAAGAGGGCATACCTCAAAATCATGGGGGAGAGATCCCCCTTGATCAACCAATGGGTTACCACTTAAAGATATTTAAATTAACTCAGACTGCCTTGGGAAAATCAAACTGACTGGAGAAATCTCAATGTATCCATCCTGGTAACATATTTTATAAATTTTATAAATACCATAAAGCTTTTCACACAAACATTTACAGGCTAAATCATTATCTGTTACACATCCCATTCAGTCTCTCTTTCATTGCATGCCCTATTATCCATTTTATTATTATTTACATTAGAGAACTCCTCTACCTAACAGACTCCCCTCTCTTTTCCAATAAAGATCCATATTTTGCATGCTGTTTTTGGTAAAACACCAGTAAAAAAAAAGTATAACTAATGCATGTATCTTTTCATTGGGGTATATCTTCTAAATGGTCATATATGTATATTGGTAAGTGGAGTGTCCCTTTAAATTGTGTAAATATACAATATACTTTATTGTAGGTATCCATGAACAGCAATCTATACATTATTTAATGCATGCCAAATTAAATGTGTATTGTGATTCCATTTCAAAGCTCTATAGACATTTATTAACCACTTGATTTTCCATCTTGTGGTTTATTGTGATGTCTCCTGAATCTTCATAGTATGCACTTCACCATAAGGTAAGGCTCTTTTCTGGAGATTAACCCCTTAAGGACCAAACATCTGGAATAAAAGGGAATCATGACATGTCACACATGTCATGTGTCCTTAAGGGGTTAAAGCAAAGAGGACATCACATGTTTCACCCTTATGTAAGCCTCTAGTCATTATGGAGATTAATGCAGAGATGATATCATCAGTCAAAAACATTATCAGTCCATCTACAAGTCCTCTTTATTTGGAGAAAAACTGAATAATGGTGGCAGGTGCAATAGTTAATCCTGCTAAGGAGTGTAACTTTCATCTTTCTTGGGTTGTAATGAGATTACGTCATTTTAGCTCTAACCCTGTAAATCATGTGATATAAAAGATACTCTAGTATGTCCCTGCTTGTAACTTTAGGTCTCCTCTGCGACCATGAAAGGGTTAATAATGCATTTTTCCACTTACCTTAATTCCAGAGGTCTCCTTCTCCAGCGACATCATGCCAGTGGAGGAAACTAATGTGGATATGCAGCGAGTGTCTTGAGCGCATGAGACTTTCCTCACTGGGCATTTTGCCATATGTCCTCATTGCAGTTTTAAGGGTACAGGAACACTGCACCCAGACCACTTCAATGAGATGAAGTGGTCTGGATGCCTATAATGTCCCTTTAAAGTCAACTAAGGTGGCCACGTAGGGTCCAGGAGTTAGAAATGGGCCCATGCACAGTGCAAATGCTTGGTCCCATTTACAGCTTAATGAAGTGGTCTGGGTGCCAGGTCCAGCTAGGGTTAACCCATTTTTTAATAAACATAGCAGTTTCAGAGAAACTGCTATGTTTATTAATGGGTTAAGCCTTCCCCCAAAGCCTCTAGTGGCTGTCTCATTGACAGCCACTAGAGGCGCTTGCGTGCTTCTCACTGTGATTTTCACAGTGAGAGCACGCAAGCGTCCATAGGAAAGCACTGTAAATGCTTTCCTATGCGACGGGCTGAATGCGCGCGCAGCTCTTGCCGCGCGTGCGCATTCAGCCCAGGAGGAGGAACGGAGGAGGAGAGGAGGCAGAGAGCTCCCCGCCCAACGCTGGAAAAAGGTAAGTTTAAACCCCTTTACCCCTTCCAGAGCCGGGCGGGAGGGGGACCCTGAGGGTGGGGGCACCCTCAGGGCACTATAGTGCCAGGAAAACGAGTATGTTTTCCTGGCACTATAGTGGTCCTTTAAACAAGCACACAAAGCACCATAACAGCATACTCCACTGGGTATGTTGTGAAGAATTCCCTGACACCATCACACAGTCGGATGCCAAACTATTATAGCATGGTTTGACAACTTATGTTGATCCAACCAGGCGATTATGCCACATCCAATAGCAGGAGAAGCCAGATATCATGTTAGTGTAAAACAGGACTGCATTCATTGGCTGAAACTGTCTGATGAGTGCTCTCAGTTAAAGGGACTCTGTAGGCACTTTCCCAGGTCCCATAACCCTGAGCGGGTAATTATTGCAGTTTTTACGAAACAGCAATAATTACCTGCTAAAGTTAACTCCACCTCTAGTGGCTGTCGAAATGACGGTGGACTTCCTCCAGTGTCACACAAAACCCTATAACAAAGCCCTAAATAATGCTTTCCTGTGGGGAAATCCAAATGCGAGTGTGGCCATTCCCACGCATGTGCATTAGGCCTCCCCCTAAGGCTGACATCTGCCGGGTAGGAGAGAAGGTGGACCCCTGCTGGCCCTGACCCCAGGTAAGTGACAGAAGGAGTTTTTAACACTTCTGCACCATGGGGGATGGGAGGGGACAGGGCTTGACAGAGGGGGAAGCTATAGTGCCAGGAAAACAAGTTTGTTTTCTTGTCACTATAGTTTCCCTTTAACGACTCTAGTCCTGCTTTGCTCTAAAGTGGCATTTCGCTTTTTTTGCTAGAGAAGACTGGATGCTGTGGAGGGGCACAGATGTCAGGCAAGTGGTTAAACCATGCTAAAACCATTTGGCATCTTGCCAGGAAAGTGGTCAAACAGTGTTTAAACTATTTGGCATCTTACTGGGGGTTGGCACCAGGGCACCTCTAGCACCAACCTTCACCACTACAGTGGTGCTTGGATTGTCCCTTTATAGGGACACTATAGGCACAATTTTTTTTTCAATCAGATGTTAGCTTGCTTAAAAGTTTTTCTTTCCTGCTCTGTGAATTGAACTTTAATCACACACAAGAGGCTCCTGCATAGTCTATGAGAGCAGAAGATAAGAAATTCTAGATTAAACAGATTGTGCAATACAGGAATTTATAATATCTAGGTTCCTTTCCAGCAAGGATGTGCAAGTCAAATGCAGGGAACTGTGACTAGGGCTGTATCAACAGAGTTATTTAATTTCTAAATGGCAGAGAATTGTGAAGTGAGACTGCAGGGGCATGATCTATACACAAAAACTGCTTTATTAAGCTAAAGTAATTTTGGTGCCTATAGCGTTCCTTTAACTTAACTCTAACCTTAACCATAATCCTAATTTTAAAAATCATGTAATTCACGAGATACATAATTCTGGAGCGTGAAAATAATCATTGGAGAAATTCATTAACTACTTAACCTTTAGTTCTCACAGGAAAATAATGCCATTGTTAATTCCTGAAGATATCATAATAAACCACAATATTATAGATTAAGTGTTTTATTATTATTAATATTTTTATTATTTTATTATTTATATAGCGCCAGCAAATTCCGTAGAGCTGTACAATGGGTTGATCTCTCCAGAGAGTGAGATGATGCTACTATTGCTATGTATCTTTTATTGTATCTGTTTATTAGATTTTATTCCATAGCAACTGGAATGTCATAGAATGATGTAAATGTGAAATCTTGTCCTCTTGCATTACTAACAACGGCCTTGTTTTATTATTTTTAAATACGTTTTCCAAATTCGTCAATATTTTTGGATACATTTTTTAAATTACTTTTTTCAAGAAATGTAAATATATATATATATATATATATATATATATGCATAAATCTAAATATTACAAAATTAAAATATATTCCGTAAGATTAAATCTTTTTAAACATTTATACAAAAATATTAAGCCATTTGGAAAGCGTATCTAAAAATAATAGTTCAGGACCATACGCTTTGATTTATTAAGCTTCCCAAATGATTTAATACTGTTAGAAAAACTTTCCATATGATTTAGATGCAAACATTTCCGTAGTCTGTAATGTTTACTTCCGTAGAAAAATCATTTGGAATGTTTTACTAAAATATTGTCTGGGGTTGCTGTATCTCTTGTGCAGAGTGAACTGGCCTGTATATTGGATATGGACTGCCCTTTTGGGTGGGATTAGTCTGATATGCAAATGTTTAGGTTATCTCTGTAAAATTGCTAAAATCAGCTTGATAACTGGGCAGGGATCTCACTAAAGGGCAAGCTGTTTAAGTTGTTGTCTGTTCTCAGTATTCTCTTGCACCCTGTTTTTAGATTCTAACAGTATTGAACCATTTGGAAGGTCATAGGCCCCAATTCAATATTTTTATAAAATATTTTCAATTATTTAATATTTTTATATATATTTTACATTTTTATTTTTTTAAATATTAAAATATCAAGAAATATTGTTTAAAAAAAAAATATTTATATATATATTAAATCCTTTTAAAAGATTTGCCCTTAAAGTCTTCTCTTCTCACCCGAAGCAATTTAACTCCAATATATGGCCTTAATAAACTTTTCAAATGATTAAATACTGTTAGAAAAACTTTCCAAATTATTTATGTAGAGAATTCACCATATGAGACTTTTTGTAGATAAAGCAGTACTGAATCATTTGGAAACCTTATTAAATCAAAGCTGTAATATAGGTGTGGGGAAGGGAAGACAGAATGAATGATGGCAGTTGTGAATTGCGGTTGCTGTCCAAGAGAGCAACTCCTATTTATCTCAGACAGCTGGAACAAACAGGTCTCCGTTCTAAAGTAACATTTACGTGTCCTGTGATTCACATCACAGATCAAACGACTTATAAGTCTCATTAATTTATTGTACAGCGCCGTGCAATATGTTGGTGTTTATAACAAAAAAAAATCATTTATTTTCTGCTTATTATTATTATTACTGGTATTTGTATGGCGCCATCATATTCCGTAGCGCTTTACAATATTATCAAAGTGGGAGATTTAACAATAAATGAGACAATTACAAAAACTTACAGGAACAATAGATTGAAGAGGGCCCTGCTCAAACGAGTTTACAGTCTATAGGAGGTGGGATGTAAGACACAACAGGTTTAGGTTAGTTTTTAATAAAAAGCTAATTTTTAGTCCTTACGTACATAAACAAACATGAATATTTTCAATAAACTTGACAAATTTAATATTATTTGGTCAATTACCAATCTGTTGAGTAAACTTGTCAGGGTTATTCATTAAAAGGATGGTTTAATGAGCAACTGGGTTCATTCACAAAACTCTCAATTGTAGTAAATAAAAACTTATCTGTAAAACTTAGGGGGAAAAATGGTGAATTGGAAATGTTTTTCCAACTATGCTGCAGTCATAGTTAAGCTATTTAGTCTAAACTTTAAATATGTGGTTTTCATGTTTGTATAATTCAATGTTTAGTGAAAAAACCCTAAAGTGAGTATAAAAATTTTGTCCTGAATAAACCATAAATTGAATTTCAATTTTTAGGCCCACTGACATACCACCTAAATGAAGTCCTCTTTCACTCTAAGGCTATATCATATCTCTCAACCAGAGGCTTAACTACAGGGAGTGCAGAATTATTAGGCAAGTTGTATTTTTGAGGATTAATTTTATTATTGAACAACAACCATGTTCTCAATGAACCCAAAAAACTCATTAACATCAAAGCTGAATATTTTTGGAAGTAGTTTTTAGTTTGTTTTTAGTTATAGCTATGTTAGGGGGATATCTGTGTGTGCAGGTGACTATTACTGTGCATAATTATTAGGCAACTTAACAAAAAACAAATATATACCCATTTCAATTATTTATTATTACCAGTGAAACCAATATAACATCTCAACATTCACAAATATACATTTCTGACATTCAAAAACAAAACAAAAACAAATCAGTGACCAATATAGCCACCTTTCTTTGCAAGGACACTCAAAAGCCTGCCATCCATGGATTCTGTCAGTGTTTTGATCTGTTCACCATCAACATTGCATGCAGCAGCAACCACAGCCTCCCAGACACTGTTCAGAGAGGTGTACTGTTTTCCCTCCCTGTAAATCTCACATTTGATGATGGACCACAGGTTCTCAATGGGGTTCAGATCAGGTGAACAAGGAGGCCATGTCATTAGATTTTCTTCTTTTATACCCTTTCTTGCCAGACACGCTGTGGAGTACTTGGACGCGTGTGATGGAGCATTGTCCTGCATGAAAATCATGTTTTTCTTGAAGGATGCAGACTTCTTCCTGTACCACTGCTTGAAGAAGGTGTCTTCCAGGAACCAAAGGAAGCATGGCTTTTCTGCCCAAAACCGGTTCCACAGAGTCTTCTGTCCTGGAGATAATTGGGAAGTAATCCAATTATCTCCAAGGACAGAGGCAAAACTCCATTGAGCAAAAGACAATAAAACACATAAAAACATATAACTGTGCAGCCATTGCACAAAACAGGTACATTCAACATATCCCCAGATAGCTCAGATCTGAGCGCACATTATTACTGAATGGCGCAGAGAGCACACACATACAGTTCAATTGCCATGGAGCCAAAGTCTTTCCCATAGTCTTGCATTATACGAATGGGCTCCATGGCATAGCTATCTGGGGTATCACAGGGCAAGCACCAAATGACCCGGCTTTCATGTCTTTGCAGGGGAAAATCAAGCCTTTTAACATGGGGCCATAATCCTAAGGCAACAGGCGAGCAACCAGGCTTCTCCAATGCAATGTGGCGAGATTGGTCTCATCACACTGACTATCCCCAAGTTTGTACTGGCCTTTGGTATTTACCGGGATGTCATCTGTGCGTTCTATCCCAATAGACGAGAGGAGTTTGATCTTTATATGCACAAGCTGGTAGACCTGGGCAACAAATATGGTGGATCAGCCATAGGTCTTTTTCTGCAAAAGTGTCTGGGGCCTTTTCCCAGTATGGAACAAGATCCAACTGGGGTAGCATTGATACCGTCATATTTTGCAGACAATTTGCAGGTCTAAGAACACCGGCTTGTGCTTACTGCTCCTCTACGGCGCATACGACAAATTTCTGTCCCACCAGAGCGGACGAACAGACTTCCACGCAAGGAGCTAGTTCCTCTGGTGTTTCAGAGAAATTGACCAGAGACAAACTGGGACGCCCGATCATGTTTCTGGGCAAGTCCCAGATATGTAATAATTTCAATGTCGGGTCTTGTAATTATAGTGGATGTAGATTATTGCATATCTGTTTAAAATGTTTTAGGGCACATACCAAAACCATGTGTCCAAATAAAATGTACCCTAAGCCATACCTTACGTCCATTAACATTTCGGTATTTACAGCATTTCTGTCACATCACCCGTCTAGACACTTGATAGATTTTCTTATCTCTGGTATAACAGAAGGCTTCCGCACGGGTATTCTACACATACCGTCCGGGATTCTGAAATGCCCTAATCTACAGTTCGCACAGCGCAACCCCACAGCTGTTGACACTCTCATAGCCCAGGAAGTTGCTGAAGGTTTCTTACTGGGGCCTTTCCAGTCTCCTCCGTTCAACGAATGGCGCACTAACCCCATTGGTATTGTCACAGGGAAATCTTCCCTTAAACAGAGACTCATTATTGACCTGTCTGCACCACACTCATCAGCTAACCCCAGTCTCAATTCCCTCATACCCTCAGAAGAATTCTCCCTGCAATACACTACCATAGATCACGCCATTACAGCTATCATACAGGCAGGGGTCGGAGCATGGCTTTGTAAGACCGATATTACTCACGCCTTTAAATTGCTGCCAATTCACCCTACACTGTGGCACCTGCATGGCATCAAGTGGTCCGGGAACTACTATTTTTTCTCCCGCTTAACTATTGGGTCCAAAAGTAGCCCTGCTATTTTCGACACATTTGCCAAAGCATTGTGCTGGTTACTATTGAACATAGCCAGATGCCCTACTGTATTACATTACCTGGATGATTTCTTACTGGTCGAGGAGAACACTTCACCTCCCAGTAGCCGCAAAGCTACCATCAATCTATTCAAGCAGTTAGGTGTTCCAGTCTCCCCAAAGAAAACAGAGGGGCCAGACACGATCATCACATTTCTGGGTATTCAATTAGACTCAACCACAATGCAAGCAGGCCTGCCACACGACAAGATAGGAAACATTCTTACCTACATCAACCACTACCTTCAGCTCGGTACTTGCAAAAGCAAAGAGCTACAGTCCCTTCTGGGTTCTCTAAATTTTGCCATGCGTATCATACCTCAAGGCCGCTCCTTCATATCACGACTCCTGCATCTATTTCCACTCTTCCTACACGACACACAGGTTGTCCTTAGATACCCAAGCTACGGCAGACTTACGCATGTGGAAGAAATTTTTAACCACTTGGAATGGTAAAAGTATGTTTCTCCCTCAATTGACTGACTCATCACCTACCATTTGGTCAGATGTGGCATCTAGCACAGGTTTTGCAGCAATTTTTGGGAACGAATGGCTTTGGGGCAGCTGGCCTACCTCAGTTCAGGATTTGGAGGGTTTTTCCACTACCCCAGCTTTGAGATCTATCCCATCGTGGCGGCTGCCATGGCATTGGGTTATTTATGGGAAGACTTGTCAGTACATTGCTACTCAGATAACCAGGCAACCTGTCACATCATCAACAAAGGTCGTTCCAAATCCATTATGATCATGAGATTTCTGAGGAAACTCACTTGGTTGGCTGCTTGTCATAATTTCTTCCTGTATTGTTTCCATGTTCCTGGTGTATGTAACACAGCTGCTGACAGTTTGTCTTGTTTTAAATTCCAGGCATTCCATCAAGCACTCCCGTCAGCCGTGCTCACTACCATGACAACTCCAACATTTCAGCAACTAGTAGTGGACTAGACGCCATTATGCATCATAGCAGGGCACTGTCCCAATTGGCACTGTCAAACAATACGCACAAAACATACGACATGGCCTTTACGTTATTCAAAAGATTCCTTTCGGAACATAATATCATGCAACCATTTGTCATGACACCTTTGTTGGGGTTCGTATGGATGTCATACAACACCATTAAACTTTATCTAACAGGCATTCAACACCATATGCTAACCTTACAACCAAACAACACAAGTTTCATGACCTCTCACCAGATTAAGACTATCCTCAGGGGCATTCAGAGATCTGAACCCACGTGTACATCACAAAGGCTACCCATAGACAACCATATTTTCAAAGCGTTGTCTAACCTGCTTGATTTAAAACCTTTTGACACCAACACAAATTCTCTCATCAAGGCAGCAATCTACATAGCTTTCTATGGATTCCTAAGATCTAGAGAATTCACTACGACCAACGCCACACAATCTACTCCTATTCTCCTCCATTCCCACTTAACTAAAAACAGGGATCATTACATCCTGACTCTGCCTCACTCCAAGACCAGTCAGCACGCACCAGTAGAAGTAGCTTACTATCCTACGCACAACAGGTGGTGCCCCGTCACGATTCTTGATGCAAACATACAGCATCATAACTCACTACCATCACAATCATTATTCATTTTACAAAGTTCGGCACTCACCACTACAACCTCCATGACCTACGTCAGGTCTGTATTCACTCAGCTGGGCCTCAACCCAGCTAACTACTCAGGGCACTCCTTCCACATAGGGGCAGCATCAACAGCCTCCAGCGTTAACATTCAAGTTCATGTTATAAAAGCACTGGGGCGCTGGAAATCATCCGCTTACTCACGATACATACCGAACCCAGTACAAGAATTAAGAAATGCATTTAGAGACATGTCTGGTTGATATGTCTATTTGCATTGGTTGTCTGTAATAAATTTGAATTATTTAATTTTGCCCAACTTCTTTCTCAGGCCTACCTCATCGTCGGTTCTGGCACACCACAACCGACTTGCTCTTTTATACCATCCTACGTTCATTATGGTATTTTACTCTGTACTATCATGAGCACCTAACACAAGTAGTAAGGCCATTTGGCCTGTAATTGAGTGAGGGGCTTGTTTTTCACTCCTAGCCTACTTAAGGGACACCCCTTACCTGGCTCCATACCGTTCGAGGTCAGCGTTGTATGACCCTTCCACCACACCACATTATAAATAATTATTTTCCTTTTCTTCTTTTCTTTTTCCTTGGTAGGCCCTCTTCTTTTTCAGGCCTACCTCATCGTCGGTTCCGGCACACCACAACCGACTTGCTCTTTTATACCATCCTACATTCATTATGGTATTTTACTCTGTACTATCATGAGCACCTAACACAAATATATAAATATATATATATATATATATATAAATATATAATGTAAGTTGGAAAAATAACCACATTTATAAAAAAAACTAATAAAAATGCTAAATTTAGACAGCCTTTGTGACTAAGTGCCTACTACAAAAAACTGGACATACCCCATTTTGAATATCCTGGGTTGTCTACATTTGAAAATTGTATGCCATGATGGGGTTATTTCACATTCCTGGGTTACCATATGGTCTCAAAAGGCAACACAGACTCTTCAAACCAATCTGGCAAACTGAATCGGGCATGCTTTATATTGACCCTGTAACTTTCCAAAACACCGTAAACCCTGTACATGGGGGGTACTGTTATACTCAGAAGACTTCGCTGAACACAAATATGAGTGATTAAAACAGTAAAACCTATCACAACAATCAGGGCCGGCGTTAGCTGTAAAGCGACTTAGGCGGCCGCCTAGGGCGCAACTTAGCAGGGGGCGCCGGCATCCCGCACCCGGAATTGGCAATTGATTGGTGGCTGGCCGGTGCGGCACTCCTCATGCTGTGCCGCCTGAGTGCTACAGAAAACCTCAGACGGCACAGCACTGCTCTATGGAGGGCGGCCGCAGAGAGACGCGACCGCCCATGAGACCGCCCACGCGACAGTGAAGGTGGTTGGGTGGGCGTGCTGCGCGCAGCAGACCTCTAAGAGGAGGTCTCTCGAGGTCTGACTTACCTGCTGGAGGGGGGGAGGGGGATATTGGGGAACTGTAACATAGTGATGGATATAGCCATATGGTGTAACTGAATCCCAATTTTTTTTTTTTGCTAGTAGTGGTGATTTAAAGTAGCTTCATAAAATTTAAAACGGGATTTATTTTTTCACTGTTCCCTAATCTGTATTTTGAGGCTGAAACATTGTCACTTCAGTAGCGTGCCAACAAGGGGCGATAGGAATGGTTCAGAGGGGGTACACAGAGTAACTCCCCATTACATTTTGTTGCATGGACCCGGATAGAAGATTGAATTACTTTGTATGTGACTTTGTAATATGACTGACCATGTATGACTGTAGGTGAATGTTGGTGACTGTGTGTAATTATGTTGTGATGCTGTATGATTGTGTGTCTGTGCATGGGGGGTGCTAGCTCTCACTTGCCCTCTCCATTTTTAATTCTTCATGTTTACATCAACTAATCTCATACATGAAAAACTTAGCAATAGTCTTACATACACATATATTTTTGCGTCTTTCACACTCACACACGTGCGCACATATGTACAGTAGATCTCTAAATGATTTTCAGGTATTATTGTGGTTTAATGATCATCAAAGAGAATATTAATTGAATATTAATAATTTTTGATGTACATTTATACTACAATAGTTATTTTGATAATTGAACAAGATGTCTGCACCACGAAAGAAATTGTCTGGTGCTGCTTTCCGAAAGAAAAGAAGGCTCCAAGAAGAAGACACTTCTAAGATGGCTGGATCATTAAATAGGTTCTTTAAACCTGATCCAGGACTAAAAGCTGTAAAGATGGAGTGCAAAACTAAAGAGAATCGTGAAGCTGTAGATGTCGAACCACACCCTTCTACTTCAACTGTGGGCGAACATTCTTTGGGCATAGAAAGTGATACAAACACTGAGGAAGAGAGTTCACAGAAATCAGCATCATCATCAGAAGATGAAAATGGAAAAAGCATGCTGGTAGACTTCTTTGATCCAGCTGAATGGCCTGATACGCTTACTAGCTCACTAAAAGAAACCTTCCTTCTGAATGGTCCGGCAAAGCCAAAAGAGCACTTTGCCTTTCCTAAAGATGCATCCAAGAGACGGTTTACATCAACCCACTATAGACGGCGCCTTGGAAATGGTGAAGTGCATGTTAGAAAGTGGCTTAGTTATTCTCCTAGACTGGACAAAATATTTTGCTTTTGTTGTAAACTCTTTACAACTATGAAAATGAGCCTGACAACGGGAGGCTACAATGATTGGAAAAATTTGTCCCAGTGTCTGGCTACACATGAAGTGTCTCCATCTCACCTCACTGCTATGGGAGACTGGACAGAACTGTTAACAAGGCTTGGGTCTGGAAGTACTATTAACCATTCATACCAAAGATTATTGGCAACTGAAACGCAGCACTGGCAGAATGTTCTTCAGCGGCTTGTAGCCATTGTTCAATAGCTTGGGAAGCAGTGCTTGGCCTTCAGGAGCAGCAGTGACACGCTGTACTCCGAAAATAATGGAAATTACTTGAAACTTGTAGAAATTATGGCAACATTTGATAGTGTGATGCAAAGCCACTTGAAAAAGATACAGAAATCAGAAATTCATCAGCATTATTTAGGAAAAGACATCCAAAATGAACTAATTGGTTTAATTTCAAAATAAATACGGAGACGCATTCTACGGTTGCTTAAGGAGGCCAAGTACTATTCCATTATACTTGACTGCACCCCTGACATCACTCTTGTTGAACAGATGACTATGGTTTTCAGGTTTGTATCTGTTAAGCAAGGAGACTCGCCAACTGCAAATCCTGAAATACACATTGAGGAAAGATTTCTTGGTTTCCTGCCAGTTCACAACTCATCTGGAGAAGGATTAACAGAGGCAATTTTGAATGAGCATGAAATGCGGAAGATACCACTCAGTGATATGAGAGGTCAAGGGTATGATAATGGCTCCAACATGAAGGGAAAGCACTCAGGAGTACAAAAAAGAATCATGGACCTGAACTCACATGCTTTCTATGTCCCCTGCAGTGCTCATTCCTTAAATCTTGTAGTAAATGATGCTGCTATGTGCTGTAGGGATGCCAGTACATTTTTTTGGCATTCTTCAGAAAATATATGTTTTTTTTATCAGGTTTAACAAATCAATGGGATGTGAGTAAGCTGACAGTTAAGCCGCTATCCGATACTAGATGGTCAAGCAGAATTGATGCTATTCGGCCATTTAGGTTCCATGTTGGAGAAGTGTATGACACCTTAATTGAAATCGGAGGTGATATGAATTTTGCTGCTCTTGCAAGAATCGAGGCTTCATCCTTGGCAAAAGACAAGTTTAAATTCTTGTGTTTTTTTATCATCCATTGGTTTAACATACTAAGTCGAATTAATTCTGTCAGCAAAGTTCTTCAAAGCCAGTCAATTTACTTGCCAGATGTTGTGGAACTTTTGGAATCAATTAAGACAATTTTTCAATCTTATCGGACAGATAATGGTTTTGAGGATTTACTTAAAGAAGCAGGAGAGCTAGCAGTGGAAATGGAAATACCCAGTGTTCCCCCCTCAAGTGCATCAGACAAGGAAAAAAAAAAGGTTGTTTTTGTATGAGGTTCAAGATGACCCTATCTTAGAACCTAAAAATAAATTTAAAGTGGAATGTTTCTTCACAATATTAGACACAACAATCAAATCTGTACATGAAAGATATGAACAGCTGAAATTTCATTCAACGCATTTTCAATTTTTGTATGACATCCACAAGCTAAAAGATGTGCAAAAAGAAGAACTCCTGCAGTACTCTGTACTATCATGAGCACCTAACACAAGTAGTAAGGCCATTTGGCCTGTAATTGAGTGAGGGGCTTGTTTTTCACTCCTAGCCTACTTAAGGGACACCCCTTACCTGGCTCCATACCGTTCGAGGTCAGCGTTGTATGACCCTTCCACCACACCACATTATAAATAATTATTTTCCTTTTCTTCTTTTCTTTTTCTTAACCGATGCAAAATCAAAGGAGTCTGATGTAGATGGAAGGCAACTGTGTGAAGAACTTGGTTTTTTGGCTCCTGTTATAAAACATACAATGACACCTGTTGATATTTTGGCCTACGCAGTGAGGAATGGATTTGCTCCAAATGTGGCAATTGCACTTCGAATTATGTTGACCTTACCAATCACTGTTGCCACAGGTGAGCGAAGCTTTTCGAAGCTGAAAATTATAAAAAATTATCTTCGTTCTTCAATGTCCCAAGAACGGCTTGTGGGACTTGCCATGATATCAATAGAGAATCGGACGGCACAGGAGATTGACTTTGAAACATTACTGAAGGACTTTGCGAATGCCAAAGCAAGAAAAGTTAAATTTAATTAGAATAACTGTTAGAAAGTATTTAAGCTGTTTACAAAGTTGTTTAGCACTTAAATTGTATTATTTTGCTATGTGTTTGGGGTTCTTTGAATGACCATACCATTTCTATTGTTGCACTTATATTATACAAAAATGCCACTATAATATAAATGTGGCCGTGTGTTTTTCTCTTAACAACTGTATGTTGTATTGCACTTTCAGAATGTTAATGTAATAAACTATTTAAATTCGCACTTTATTTTACATTGTGGCCTTTTGTGCAATTTGTCAGTGTCTTGAATGAAAAGCTACAGGATTATTCACTAAATTGAGAATTTAAAGGGAATTCTAAATTTAAGGTCAAAGTAGCTTAAATGAAAGCATAACTGACACAGATAATTTTTTTAAAAATCAGTAATTTTGTTTGCACTAGAAAACTAAATTTGGGTAAGAAACCATGAAGTTACCAAATACACGAGCAACCAAACAATCTAATACACAAGCTTGTTTTTTTAGCAATGGCTTAAGTTATGGTAGTTATTCTCCACCATTCTAAATAGGGGGCTTAATTGCAACATATAACTATTAATTTAAATGTTGAGAAAGGGGTGGGTCATATGTGATGTCATGATATGGGTAGATCATATGGGTTTGTGATGTCACATCGTGGGGGGGGGGAAGGCGGCAATTTTTATTTTGCCTAGGGCTGCAAAAATCCTTGCACCGGCCCTGACAACAATGAAATTACCAGAAAAGGTGCAATTTTTGTGTAAAAAAAAAAAATGCAAAAAACAAATATGAGCGCTAAATTAGGCCAGTGTTTCTGACTAAGTGGCTACTACAAAAGACTGGACATACCCCATTTTGAATACCGTGGATGGTCTACTTTTACAAATCGTATGCCATAAAGGGGTTAATTTTCATTCCGGGGCTGCCATACGGTCTCAAAGGCAACATAGGCCCAGCAAACCAATCTGGCAAATTTCAATGTTACATTTGACCCCTGTAAGTTTGCAAAAACCCGTAAAACCTGTACATTGGGGGCACCGTTGTACTCAGGAGATGTTGCTGAATGCATATTGGGGTGTTCTTTGTCAGTAACATAACAGGAACTGAGAATCCATGCCTAAAGTATAATGTGAGAGAAAAATAACACAAAAAATGACTACCCAAAAGTTTGACAAAGACTGGTGGTAGAATTAGTGCATGGAAAGTGTTAAAATACCACCATTTAAAATACCCTAGGGTGTCTACTTTAAAAAAAATATATGGTTTGATGGGGGTAAATTACATTGGCCAGCTTCACAAATGTCCCAAATAGGACATGGTGCATGATGACCAGCTGTGAAAATTCCAAGTTGGAAAACTGGAATGCACACCCTCCAAATAAGGTCTTTTAGCCCTCAGAGAACGTGACACACCTATACATGGGGGTGGTATCACTGTACTCAGGAGATGTTGCTGAACACATATTGGGGTGTTCTTTGGCAGTAACCCTTAAAGTTCTCTATACATGTATTCTTAAATTGCTATGTGTGTCAAAAAAATCACCAATTATTTTGTAAATTTTTTTTTAATTTGGCATAGATTGGTGGTAAAATGATTGCATGAAAAGAGTCAAAATACCCCAAGTTTAATACCTTAGGTTGCCTTCTTTAAAAAAATATATATACATGTGAAGAGTTATTCAGGGATTATCTGACAGATATAAGTGTTACAATGTAATTTTGAAAGAAAATGGTTTGGAAATAGCAAAGTGCTACTTGTACTTATAGCCCTTATCTTTACAAAAAAAGCTTAGAACATGTTAACATTGGGCATTTCTAAACTCAGGACAAAATTTAGATACTATTTAGCATGGGTGTTTTTTGCGTAACAGATTTTGGGGGTCAAAGTTAGAAAAAGTGTGGTTTCGTGCATATTTTATAATTTTTTTAAATAGTAAATTATATGATATGATGATGATGATTAGTCACCCTCCTGTTTCCTACCTTTTAGATGCAGGAGGGTGACTTTCCTGGGGTCCAGTGGTGGCTCAGACTGATGGGAGTCAGAGTTCCCACTCTGACTCCCTCCTCTCCTTCTCTTCTCCTTCCTCTCCTTCCTCCCATGCAGCACTGTGTGTAGGCTGGGAGGAGTGACCGGGGTAGTTACTTCCTCCCAGCTCTGATGTCATCACAGGGGGCCCGGTCATGCTGTTAATGCCCTGAAGCGCTGACTGGCCCCCCCCCCAGTAATACTTTGTCATCGGGTGGCCCTAACTGCATGGGCCACCCGATGGGCCCCTAAACGTGTGGGCCGGGGCCACATCACATGGCGGTGGGCACCCGGTCGCAGGGGTCAACAGGGCAGTCAGGCCCCCTGGAGTGGCGGGCCCGGTCACAGCTGCGATCGCGATAGTTCTGCCACTGCTGTCAACATTTCAAATGGCCAAAGAGAAACAGTTTCATTTTATAGGTGTAAATGTTGTGTTGCCGGGGGGGAGCTGTTTTGACAAATGTTGGGTTGCTTACTAATAACAGTTTATACAGCGGAAATGCAATTTAGAACAACTTCTGAATACATTTATTGTAATTTAAAGACACATTAATGTGAGTATTATTGCTATACACACATCAAGCATACTGAGTTCCTACAAAAGAAAAACATTAGATTACAAAAGAGGGACAGGGGGATTTGGGCCCAAAATAAGGACTGTCCCTTCTAGATAGCTGTTCTTTCTAATCATTATTATGGTGGGGATAGCCTTCTAGCTTCTGCTCTGTTCCAGCATAATTTGACAAATAAATTACTGCATATGACTTTGGAGCATCAAGTACTGTACGGTTGCTATTGTACATATTTCTTGCTACTTCTTGCAATGCATAACCTTTTTCTTCTTTAGGCCTACTCTTTCTAGTATATTCTTTATATCAATGAAACTGTGAGCAGACCAGTGTGTAAAAATAGCTATATAATAGAATGTGTTCACTGTTGCACACAGCTAACCGAATTTTTATTCTGCATGTGTATTGTCAGTGTACACATTCACATTATTACTTTTAGACTATAAGCACTGTGCCAACATAAAGCATGACACACACATCAGTTAGCCCCTCAGGTATTAACAGACTCACAAATAGCAATCTCTTCCAGTTAGAGAATATTCAAAGCAATGAAGTGGGAAAGCAAGTTTGGTTGGGTAAGTTATTAAAATAAGATCAGTTAAAGTGTGTTTTAATATGTAAATTAAAATCTGTCTCTGCTTTCGCAAACATTATTGCAGTATACATGTGATCACAACTCTATATCAATATATTTGGATTTTGTCTAGATTGGCATTAAAAAGCAGAATAATTGGGTTTGTGTTAACAACATGCATTCCTGGAGATCGCAGTTAGTGCTTATTCTAGTTCAAATGGCTGTTAATAATATTACAAGCAAATCATAGATTGAAAACAAAAGACAAAGTCACATACTCATTTACTTACATTGCTAGTAAAAGCTAAATTGTAGGGACTAGACTGTCACTTTTGCAGACATAAGGGCAACATTTCAGGATTTCAGTTAAATGTTACACCAGGTATCTGCCTATTTATATATTAAAATATAAATATACATACACATTTGTATGTATTTACATTAGAAATTAGTATCATCGCTTGGTTTTGTGTACATGAAGGATTAGTGTAGAGAAAAGGCCCTGAATGTACTCTGGTAGTTGATCCACTTTGTATTGCATTAAAACTTAACCAACCTGTATAACTTACCTAGAAAAGCATTTGAAAAAGTCATGGAAATGTTCCCTTTAGTGGTACGACAGAGATTCTGAGAGATACTTTTTTTTTTTTTTTTTGTAGACCCAATGGAGTGGTCCACAAGTAACGTTCAGAAGTGGATCCTATGGACAGAGCATCAGTATCGTCTACCACAAGTAGGGCGTAGTTTCCAGGATCTGAGTGGAAGAGACCTGTGCACTCTGAGTGAAGACAGCTTTAGAGACAGATCACCATTGTGTGGAGATGTCTTATATGCCCACTTGGACATCTGGAAATCAGGTGATACAGATAAAACATGAAGAGTGCAAGTAACCTAAAATAATGAATGTGCTTGAAATTGACTATAGTCACGTGTGTAAACCTGTTATCTTGTGGGGAAAAAATTTAGAAATTATTAACAATTCTGTGTATTTACTAAATTGGGCATTGTGTATAAGTTATATAGTTTATGCAGATTTTAGAACAAAATATTTCAACTGAAAATATTTTCCAAGTCTATTATTGTTCTAGCTCAGCTATATTGGCCTAAACTGTCCAACCTACTTGACATGTCTCCACAATTCCAGTTATAGAGGGGGAACACTCATTGGTCTAGTCAAGAATGTAGAAAATTATTCTTCAATTCCCATTCAAAACAAACATTTTCTACTTTCATGACTAGACCCGTAAGTGTTCTCCCTCTCAAACTGGAATTGTGGAGACATGTCAAGTAGGTTGGACAGTTTAGGTCAATTGTATGTATTGCTAAAGATAGCACTGGCATCTGAGACTGCTGTGTAGTCCAGCGTGCATGGCCCTTTGTATATGTATATACACCTTTTGTCCCTTACCTCAAATAAATATATATATATTCCCAAAAAATGAGGATGCACTACAAGGGATTTTTCAATTAAAATATTGGTGCTCTTAAGTGCATACGAACAAACATATACAAAGACCCCACAAAGGCCTTGTGGTGTGCCAAAACCGACATACAGCATTATAGAGGGGTTTCAACAGTCGACAGAACATCAGGAGATAGCTGGGAAGTGGGTAGGTAGATGCCGGATTAAACCTGCTCCATACTGCTTTTACATTTGTGATTGGGGACAAAAGCCAAAGGCATTCAATACCTGTATGAATGGTGGTGTGGTGCCAAAACAGATGAACAGGTAGGCCTGAAAAAAAGAAGGCAAAAAATATTAATACCACCTAATCTCAGAACAAAAAAAATTACTACCCTCACACCCCCTATTAGGCTTGACTTGTACCTTGACTCATTCAGCAACTGTTATATACCACCAAACTCTTCCCAGGTTTCTAGGAAGATAAGCACGAAGGACTTGTTAATGTAATTAATTGGTAACATTGGGCAAAATTATACCATAACCCAGTAAGGAATGTTGAAAGCATGAAACTATACTGTTTGTAAGTATAGTATTTTTTTCTTTTCTCCCTCTGTCATTCCACATGTTGTAGTAATTATTATAACCATACCTGTAAACGGAAGAAAATCATTATACCGAAAGGTTTTTAACGAGACGCAATATGGGTTAGTGGGGCAAACTGTAAAACATGCAGATACTGGCTGACCTATCTTAAGCCACGTAGTGAAACAGTTAAGCAAAGATTGGTGACTTGATAGGCCTAACTAGTTGCCAAGTGGTGGTTAGAGACACTACCTATGTTTTGGACCATTGGGTAAATATGTCACTGAGTATTGTGGTGACATGGTAGCCTCTCATTGACAATAAAGAGATTTAAGATAGATTGGTTGGGACTGGTGAAGTCCTAATTGCTTTGCCAAGGGTTGGAGTTGTGATGTACTAAATATGATATTTGAAGATTGGAGGCACAAGTAGCCTTAATAATATTTAAAGCTGACTAAGGTACCCTACAAGCCAGACCAGGCTAAGTCCTGTAGAGCAAGTGGCTGCCCTAAGGAGGGAGGCAGTTTTTGGAAAAGCGAGTCACTTGCGTAATGACTTGAAAAAACATGAATGTGAAAACAAAGACAACCTACTTTGAGTAAGATTGACGAAACAAGTCGCTTTTAAAAAACTAGCACACAAGAACTGTAATTAAGAAAAACACATTTGATGTAATTAGATTGTTTAGGATAGCTTAGGGATGTTTATGATTAACATAGGGGCTGATGGAATAGGCCCATTGATTTAAAAAACAAAAACAAAAAAAACACATTTTTTTTAAAACTTTTATTTTTTAAACACACTTCTATTAGGTTGCCACCTGGCCGGTGTCGATATTGCAGTAATACCAGCAATACAAATGCTGGTATTCTTCTCGGTATAAACAGAGAGTACTCTGCCGGCCAGGAGGGGTCACTGTGTGAGTGGAGAGAGGCAAGGATAGGAAGTTGCAGCATATACCTGGGACACTGAGACACTTGGGGACACTGAGAGACATGGAGACACTGAGACACTAGGGACACAATGTCCCCAAGTGTCTCAGTGCTCCCATGTCTCCCAGTGTCTCTAGTGTCTCACTGTTCCCATGTCTCCCAGTGTCCCTAGTGTATGTGTGCCCATGTCTCCCAGTGTCCCTAGTGTCTGTGTCCCCATGTCTCCCAGTGTCTGTGTCCCCAAGTGTCTCAGTGTCCCCAAGTGTCTCAGTGCCCCCATGTCTCTCAGTGTCCCCTAGTGACATGGGGACACTGAGAGACATGGGGACACAGACTCTAGGGGACACTGGGTGAAATGGGGACACAGACACTAGGGGACACTGGGCAAAATGGGGACACTGGGCAACATGGGGATACAAAGACATGGGACACTAGGAGACATCGGTCTAAGTGTCCCCTAGTGACATGGGGACACAGACAATAGGGGACACTGGGCGACATGGGGACACTGGGAGCAATCCATCTATACAGCAGAATCAAATTGTAAGTAGTTTTTTGGTGATTTCACAGAATTTTCTCTGTCACTCCTTGTGAGTTGCATCATGTGATGTCACGCATACATAATTAGTTATGCAAATTAGTAAGGCCTGTATTTTTTTCCAAGAAAGGTGGCAACCCTAACTACTCTTCACATACTCTTGCTTAAGTATGGAAACTTAAGAGGGATATATGGAAACAAAACTTGTGTGGACTAGTTGAAATGGAATTAGTTAAGGTAATGTTGACTTTGGTCTCTCTAACACTGTGGCATGTTCCCTTTCTTCTGCACTTACTACATCCACCTTTTCTATGTCTTAGACTGTATACCAGGAGCTTCTGCCTGCTAGTAAGAAGGTAAAGAGACACGTGGACATGTGAGTGCTAGGGGATAGTCATTAGAAAGCATGGAGCAAGCGCATCATTAGACGCATTTATGCCAAGCTCAGGATGCTGTTGGCCAGCATGCATGATTGGCAGGCAGTCTGACATGCATTCATGCCAGGCTAGCCTTCCAATTCTTTGGGCAGACACGTCTCCTTTTTGGGCATGTTCATCAGTGGCCACCCTTTTACACCGCCCATTGACTTCCTGCTTCACTGGACACTGCTGTTAGGGGGTATTGATTTACTTGAAAGATGAAAGCATGAATTAGAGAGAGATTAGCATATTTTAATAGAATCTGAGTGTTTTTATAACTGCATCCCATGAGTTTCCCTCCGGCAACATCTCCAGCAAATACATAACGCTTGAGAGTTATGACTGTTTTAGTCTTTTTGGTCGATAAGATTCTGGACTTAGGCCCCTCATAATTGTAAGCACCAGTTAATCTGGCCCTGGCTCCACAGCAACAAAACTGCCCCCCTCAGACACACTGCACACCTCACACACACTGCGCACCCCTAACATACACACACAAACTGCACCCCTAACATACACACACAAACTGCACCCCTCAGACACAGTGTACCCCTCATTTACACACTGCACCCCTCAGACACAATACATCCCATGAGTTTCCCTCCGGCAACATCTCCAGCAGATACATAACGCTTGAGAGTTATGACTGTTTTAGTCTTTTTGGTCGATAAGATTCTGGACTTAGGCCCCTCATAATTGTAAGCACCAGTTAATCTGGCCCTGGCTCCACAGCAACAAAACTGCCCCCCTCAGACACACTGCACACCTCACACACACTGCGCACCCCTAACATACACACACAAACTGCACCCCTAACATACACACACAAACTGCACCCCTCAGACACAATACAACCCTCACACACCCACACTGCACCACTTACACACACTGTACCCCTCCACACAAGCACACTAACCCTCACAAACACACGGTGCCCCTCCATGCACCCCACACACACATTGCAACCCTCAGACACATTATACCCTTAACACACATACACATTGCACCCCTCACACACACACACACACACACACACACACACTTCACTCCTCCCACACACTGCACCCCCCACACACACACACACACACACACACACATTGCACTCCTCACACACACTGCATCCCTCACACACTCACATTGCACCCCTCACACACTACTGCCCATATACTCTACTAGAGCCCCTATCCTGGCAGACTCCAGGTAAGTTGTCAAACTGTTCTAAAACGGTTCGACTACTTATTCTGGGGGGGACACCATGGCACTCCTGAAAACATAACCACTACATAGAGCTGTAGTGGTTATTGTGTCTGGATTGTTCCTTTAAATAATTTACCAGTGCCCATCCCGAGATTAGGTTCTGGATCCGCCCCTGTGTATCTGTTATTTGTATCTGTTTGTAGGAGTAGGTATTATTATACGTAAGATTACAGTTTTTATAGTTTAGGGGCAGAATTTGAGAAGAGACCAAATATTAAATCATCATAGATGTTAAGATGATAGAGTCAGTCTCATGGGTATCACATGGCAGAGTCTTCTGATCGGTGAGTCAGTGAAATGGCTCATGGATAGATACATAAGGTTTTACTTCAGGCATAATTTCTACTTAATATTAAAATCTGTGAAGGCACCTTTATTTTGTTGTAGGGTATTTTATGTATACATTCAAAATGAGATATGTATACATGCACAATAACCTTCATAGAAACACACATGTTCACATAAACAATGCTTTAATCAGAAACTGCACACATACATTCATGCATTCATTTACATTTACCAGAACACGTATATTGACAGTCACACTAAAATAAGACTCATGGATTTACATGACACTGTATATATGTATTCATGCATTTGAACTGGCAATTCACACAAAGCAAACATTCATATTACCTCTACTTAAAACAATATGAACATAATGGAAAACAGGGCAGAAACAAAGAAAATTCCATGCTATCTAGACAGTGGAGTAGCAGAGAGGGGGTAGATGTCACCAGGTGCCGGGTCTGATGGGGCACAACAGGCCTGCCCGGCATAACTGCAGCAGTGGACTATAATTGTGAAGAAGAACTGCAGAATCTGTCTCATGATGCTGCCTTGACATCCTTGGCTTAATATATATTCATACTGTAATAGATGGAGGCTGCAACAGCCTAACCCTCTGTCACCCTTTGTATGCCCCATGGCCTTTTGGTACAGTGTGAACAGACCATATTAACTGAGTGCAAGTGTGTTTCTCTAGAAGTAAGAGTGTATGCCAGTACAGGCATTTCTCACTTTATGAATTCCCGCTTTATGAACTCCTGCCTTTATGAACTTTTTTCTGGATGCGCCGCCATTTTGTTTCACCGCCATTTTGTGTCAGTGGTCAATGGATAAGGACCGAGAAGAGTGCTTTGGAGCACAAACAAGAAGAGAAGAAGAATAATTTGTGGTCAGGAGTAGACAAGAAGAGAGATGAGGATCAGGAACACAGTTCCTGAAGATAAATGGAAGTCTAAAAACCAGGTTTAGATTGTACTGTATTCTTTTTGTGCTTTCATGGGCATATATTACAGATCCTGTAATATTATTGCACTGTGTGCTATTGAGATTTGACTTGATTTGTCTGTGTGTGTCTGATATAGCTATCTGTGTGTATGTATGTTTGCCATTGTGCCATGTCTTCGCAGGCAGCAATAGTAAGGAGCAGGAGGAGGGCTGAAAAAAAGGGAGAAGGAAGAAAGTTTGAGAGCTGTAAAAATAAAAGGAGTAACAGAAAAGAGCTAAAAAAGAGATGCAAACTTGAAAGTAAGAGAGGAGAAGGAGGAGAGTTTGAGAGCTGTAAAAATAAAAGGAGTAAAAGAAAAGTGATAAAGGAGAGGGGGAGCTGATAATGAAGAAAATGAAGTGCAGCATGTCTCTTCATTGAATACTATGAGGATTGATTATAATTTAAAGATTTCAATATGGTATGCATGCCTTAAAAATTCCTACAACATACATGTATTTGCTATGCTTTCATTTTGTATTTGTACTTAAAGGACCACTATAGTGCCAGGAAAACATACTCGTTTTCCTGGCACTCTAGTGCCCTGAGGGTGCCCCCACGCTCAGGGTCCCCCTCCCGCCCGGCTCTGGAAGGGGGAAAGGGGTAAAAACTTACCTTTTTCCAGCGCTGGGCGGAGAGCTCTCCTCCTTCTCTCCTCCTCCGTTCCTCCTCCTGGGCTGAATGCGCACGCGCGGCAAGAGCTATGTTTACAGCTGCACGGTTAAAACCTCCTTGAGCTGAAGTGGTCTGGGTGACTGTAGTGTCCCTTTAATAAATAGATTTTGGTAATTTTATTCCACTTGTACATTATCTTTTATAATTCAACCTTTCAACTACGACCTGACACCAACTACTCTTTCCTAATACTCCAAAGAGGTGGGGATCATACCACCGATGCTGTTGTCAAAGAGCAGTGAGCCTGCTCTATCCTTTGTGAGTATGTTTTATTACATTTTATTCATTACAAATATTTTATTGAAAGCACTATTGTTGTTTTTTTTCCTTTTGGGTTCCTGACACAACCATCTTTAAGAACACTCACCATATATCCCATAAGCGGGGATTGTACTGCTGCACGCTTATCACACCAGAGCTGGCTTAAGCTCTACTCAATGTGTGTGTAATCCTTATATTTTATTGTTTTAATTATCCACTGTAGAACATACTGCACCATTTTTCTGTTTCTATTTCTTATTGCCCTTTGTTTGGGTCCCTGATATCACAACTTGCAAGAGGACACTCACCATAAATCCCAAATGCGGGGATTATACCGCTGTATGCCATACATACCAGAGCTGGTTTAGGCTCTGCTAAATGTGAGTGTAACATTACTACTTTACTAATATATCTGCACTTTGAGGAATGTATTGCACCATTACTTTCGCTCACCTTTTATCACCCTTTTCTATCTATATGGATATTTGAGAAGTGCAAGAACCACCATTCCCTGACTTCAGAGATTTCCACTGGACTCCAGTTCTACACACCTAGACTTTGTCGAGCTAAGACTTTTCATTTTATTCTTATATTGTGGCGTAGCCCAACTGTTTTTCTCTTTTCGTTGTATCTCTTTGATTACCTTTAAGGGCCTTGATGGACCCCTTGTTTGGGTTCGCTGCCTCCTCTTTTTTGGATTTATTTGCGCCAACTCTTTCCTGTTTTCCTATCATTCTCAGCCTAACATATTTGGTTATGTTACATTTTATCAGCTGCAACATTGAGGTATTTATCTGCATGATACTGAGTTTTGTAGCTGTGGACCTCTGTGATTGCTGGGGCATGCTGCTGTGAAACCTTGCCAGATAGGCTGCAACACTGCTGGTTGTTGGGGTTTTTTGTTGCTGTGGAGCACTGTTGTAATCAGTGTCACTACTTATTTCTGTTGGTTTTGCTGCTATGGAACTCTGTGGTGCATACATGTACACATAGCTTTTTACAGTTTTGCTTTTCGCATGTATGAGTGATGTAAAAGAAACTATCCTACACATTCTAATGACATCACTTGAGTTTTTTGTGATTACAGTTATTGTGTGCTATCTTTGTAAACATGATTCTCAGGCAAAGATTACTTGTATTGTATGGTATTAATACTGATGTCCATAGTTTTGCTGTAATCATTCCTTTCACATCAGTGATTTGTTGCAGCGTTAATTTTGTCGATTAAAAATTTTAGTCAAATTTATTTTTATTGACTAAACCTAAAATGGCTTTTTAGTTAAAAGACTATGACTAAAACTAAATTGAAATTTACCGCCAAAATTAACACTGCACAGAGGGGCTGTGGAAGGGACAAAAGAGACAGACCAGGACTTGGGAGAAAGAGAGACAGAGGGACTGGGGAAGAGGCAAAAGAGACAGATAAAGGCTTTAACTAAACTAAAGTTGTGTCGACTAAAATCTATTGAAGATTTAGTCGACTAAAACTATACTGAATAAAATACGACTAGAAGTAAAGTGGCTTTTTAGTCAAAAGACTATGACTAAAACTAAATTGAAATTGGCTGCCAAAATTAACACTAGTTTGTTGATTCAGTCATATCATTTTCTGTTCATGCAGAATCCAGCTTGACTATGTATTGTTCTCAGCTACCTGCTACTTGAGCCCCAGTCTGGCTATATGGCAAACATAGATATATTTACTTTATCTGTTTCTCCAAAATCAGACAATATACTTGGTCAGTATGATATATTGTGGTGTTATTGGTAGTAATAGTATATAGTTTTACGTTGTAAAACAGGACCCTGTTCATAATGAACAACAATACACCTCTCATTCGCAATAACGTATACACTTACAGTGTCTCACTGTTAAATATATTATGTTTATTTGGTAGTTGCTTTAAGTAGCAGTCTCTATTGCTTAGTGTTATGAAGTATGCATGCCTCACTGCCTAATTAATATATCAGGTTTGTTTGAGGCATGTCATTCACTTATTTATGTCATGTTAAAAGTAAATTTCAGGCACGGCACATGTCCTCACTGTTACTATGCCTCACTGTGACAATGCCCAGACATGTGTCTGGTTATTACAAAGTTGTTATTTTTGTGTTATGTGAGCTCGCTTTTCAGCATATTAATTACAGGGGTTTAGATATTTATATATACTGCCCACCTCCTTCGCAACCTTCTCACATATATGTATTCACATTAAGAACTGATCAGTACATTAAGTCTCGCCATGTATGCTTCATACTGGCCATTAAATATCTAGAGCAGGGGTAGGCAATCTTCGGCACTCCAGATGTTGTGGACTACAACTCCCATAGTGCGTCTACAGCCATAATACTGGCAACGCATCATGGGAGATGTAGTCCAAAGCATCTGGAGTTTCAAAGGTTGCCAACCCCTGATCGAGAGCTTTTTTAGCATACATGGTCAACTGGATCATTTAATATACTGATTCAATTTTAATTGGTATTCTTTTGGTAAAACTAGAGCATTTTAATCATTCGGGGCTAATTTTACTTACTTCACCTACCTTACTGGCAATCACTCTGCCACATTTTCATAGTGTTAGTAACGTAGTACTGAATTATGAACACTAAATTCCCTTGTCACTATTGAACCTCTGTACACCTATTGCCCTCTGCGTTTCTATTCACTTATACTATCAAGTTCTAAGCTTTAGCTTTCAAAAACTATTTGTTTTGTCAATCTCTTTATTGTCAACGAGAGGCCAACATTCCACCATAACGCTTGGTAGGATACTTACTCAATGGTCCAACCCTCTGTGACAAAACCCCTGTTTTGTGAATGTCAGGACCCTCTATTTTGTCTGCTGTTCGTGTATTTATCCCTATTTCGTTCCTTTCTTAAAAACCGAACAAACTACCGAAAAGCCAGACCACCCGCAATAGCAGCTCATTAATCACCCAGAAGCTGCGGTTAACCACAACAACTATTTGACGAACGGCTGGGTGGCCATTTTAAACCCAGCGGTGTTTGGTCGTCGACCACGTAGAACTATTTAGGCCACAATTTCACACGAACCCTGTTGGGACTATCCAACTTCCACCTTTTTCGTCTTTCGGTACATTCAATACACGAACGAGACCGACCCCAGATAGCTAAATCCATGGAGCCAATTTTGGATATATTTCTAGCGAACAGTCGGTGAACAGACTCTTCAGCTCCATGGCGTTTGGACTGTGTTCGTGGGATCTGAGCGGTGTTCGGTTAGATTGAGCGCTCAGACCCAAGCTATCTGGGGATATGTCGAATGTGTGGGTTCCGTTTGGTAAAATAAAAGTTATATATTTTAATGTATTTTGTTACTTTTGTAAAATGGAAATATTTTCTCTACCTGGAGATAATTAAGTTTACTACAGATACTGAACCTAATTATCTCCAGGACAGAGAGGAGGGATTTCACTGTTTATGTGGTGTGTTTTATATTGTACTGTAAAATGATTGGTTAATGTATCTTGTGTTTCAGTCCTCCACAAGGTCCCTGTGGGAGTATCCCTTGCTGGAGGACCTGCATCAAAGGCCGAGCTGTGGCCATCATTAAACAGATTGTTTTACCCCTTCATTAAGTCTCGACTGATGTTTGGGGGATTGAGAGCTATATTCACTATTCTGCTCTACTTCAGCTGGGATTTCGGGAGAAGCTACAAGGATCTTTCCTACAGGGATAATAGGATCCGTTACAGCCTCACATCACCATTTGCAACTAGTTGGGCCTCCTAAGTCACCAATGATACCTCAATTGTTTCACAGCTTGACATAAGATAGCTCAGCCAGTACTTGGATGTTTTACAGTTTGTCATAAGAGCCTATGGTTGAGCTCAATGAAAACCTTTCAGTATAATTCATTTCTTCTGTTTCAGGTATGGTTATAACGACCACTACAACATTTGGAATGATAGAGTGGGGAAAAGAAATAAGAGGGAATTTTGGGTCAATCAACATTCTGGCAGTTTGTTTTTGGCCCAGTTTTGGATGATGCACTTAGACACAAACTGTTGGGAAGAGCCAGCAATTGACTTACAGTGGCTAGTCAGCAGCTGTAGTTACATCCAATACATTATCTTACAACTAGTATAGTTGTGACGAGACCAATCTCGCCACATTGCATTGGAGAAGCCTGGTTGCTCGCCTGCTGCCTTTGGACTATGGCCCCCTGTTAAAAGACATCTTTTTTACCTGCAGAAAAGCTTCATTCGTGATTTTCTGCCTGGGGTTCGGTAGATTCAATCTACCGAACAACCGTATGAATGACTGGACCACCTGGGAGCTGGAGTGTGCCGGCAATTAACCTCCCTGAAGCTGCGGTTAACCGCAGCTTAATTGACGAATGCTGGGTGGCCGCCATTCGTATCCCGAACACGAGGTCGCGGCCATTTTAAACATACGAATGCACAGCGGTGTTCGCCTCTATTTTCATGGAACTAAAATCGGACACAGTTTTGCGCGAACACCGCTGAAGCTGCCGACCTCCCTTCTTGTTCGGTGGAAGTGCACGAACGGCCCGGTGTTCGGTAGTTCTGTTTGAATAGGTTATACCCCAGATAGGAATCCCATGGAGCCCATTCGTATGAAACTGACTGTAAAGACTTTGGCTCCATGGCAATTAAACTGTATTCGTGTGGTCTGAGTGCCATTCACCTAATAATGTGCACTCAGACCTGAGCTATCTGGGGATATGTTACATGTCTGTGTTTTATGTAATAAATGTTACTTTATGTATTTTAAAGTATAATGCTGGTTTTGTGTCCCCACATGGGTAATGGAGTTTTGCCTTTGTCTTGGAAGATAATTGAGTTACTTCTCAATTATCTCCCAGGGCAGAGGGGAGGAAGCCAGGATGCATTGTGGGAATATACTGTGACTGTGTGTCCTTTTTGTATACTTGTCTGTCCCTTGTCACAGTCTCCCATTTGGTCCCCTAGGGGAGTGTCCACCAGGTGGGAGACCTGCATAAAAGCAGGGCAGGTAGCCCTCATTAAACAGACCACTGCTTGACCCTCAACACGGAGCCTTGTCTCGTCTTTGGGGGGATTTACTGTATGCTGCTAAGGACCGATTGCCAGGAGTGTAAGCCGCTTGGGAGCTTTTCCTGTTCGTCTGGTAGCAGCAATTCGTATGGTTCCTGTTCATGTATTTGGAGTGCTACCTTATTCCCTTGTATGCCGTTCGGGAGTTTGGAGCATTCACTTGTATTCAGTTCGTGAGTTTTGGTGATTCTGCAGTAGCTTTGCCTGTCTCTGAAAGGGGATTATCGTCTAAGTGGTTTTTTCCCTTTTGTGCAAAACGGTCCGTTACAATAGTTTTATGTTTCAACATTCCTCACTGGGTTACAGTATAATTACTGCCCAATTCTACTACTTAATTACATTATTAAAGGACCACTATAGGCACCCATACCACTTCAGCTCAATGAAGTGGTCTGGGTGCCAGGTCCATCTAGGATTAACCCAGCAGCTGTAAACATAGCAGTTTCAGAGAAACTGCTATGTTTACACTAGGGTTAATCCAGCCTCTAGTGGTTGTATCACTGACAGCCGCTAGAGGTGCTTCCGCACTTCACACTGTGAAAATCACAGTGAGAAGATGCTGACATCCATGGGAAAGCATTGAGAAATGCTTTCCTATGGACTGATTGAATGCGGGCGCATTCAGAGCTGACGTCGGGAGAGGGAGGAGAGTTCCCCAGCGCTGAGGGAGCCCGGCGCTGGAGAAAGATCAGAGTTTAACCCATTCAGCCCCCTTGAGCCCAGCGGGAGTGGGACCCTGAGGGTGGGGGGGGGACCTAAAGACCCTATAAGTTCTTCATTTTTATCTTCCAAGCAACCTAGGAAGATATTGGCAGTATGTAAGAGTTGTTGAATCAGTCAAGGTACAAGCAAGGCCTAATAATAGGAAGGGGTTTATTAATTTAGTTTTGTTCTGAGATTAGGTGGTATTAATATTTTTGCCTCTTTTTTTCAAGCCCACCTGTTTATTGGTTTTGGCACACCACAACTGACTTGCTCTTACTGGTTTAGCTCAAACCTTATTGAATGCCTTTGGTCATTGGTCCTTGCCACACATATAAAAGCATTATACCTGGAGTTGTGGGAGTGGTTTAGTCCAGCAATATCAGGAATGAGGATGTGATAGCACTGATCTCTAATAAATGCAATAAATGCAACATTTCATTTCAAAAGCATCATTTAGAGGTGGTAAAGACACAAAGGTATATTGAGGTAGCCATTTTATTGGCATACCACATGTGTCTATGTTAATCTGCATCCTTCCTTTTTTGCAGTCTTTTTTCTTGTTCTCTAACTTCTTATGCTCTTTACAGCGGCCTGGATGAAAGAGAAGACAGGTCAAGGAGACATGAGATACTGTGGTAAGGAAAAAATATTTTAACAGTGAGATTTATTCAATAGATCTGTGACTCAGGCCCAGACTGGGCAAAATTTCAGCCTGGGCATTTCAAGGCAAAACAGCTTAATAGACGCAGCACCCCCCTTAAAGTGCACAGACATGGCACTGGAAAACCGTCATGGCTTTGTTTAGCACACACCCACAAATTAATTGACACACTTTCTCTATCTGAGCTAAACCTTGCTGAGAATAATCAATTGGAACTCTCAGCCAATGAGCCAAAGCCAGGCTTAGCTTAGGAAAACTGACAGAAACTCCCAGTTCTCCATAGTTTGAGGCAGGGAAACGTTAAACTTTTCTAAAATAATTCGCTGCTTTACAATAGGGGTGCACCAGGGCACTTTTTGAACTATAACTACTACAGTGAACTTGGAGAGTCTCTTTTGATACTGTGATAAGAAAAAAAATGTGTTGAGAAAAGCATGGATGGATGCCTTCTCCTGTCTTTGGAGGCATAGAAGGTTTCAAGAGATTATATTGAGAGATTTATGGAAAGGGTGTTAAAGGGGTTTATACATCTTTTTTTTTTTTGTTTATAATGGCCTATTTGGCACTAGGTAATAGGTCCCCCCCTTATAAAAGAAATTCATGTATGAATTAATTTATTTATAAATTAAAAAATCAGTTTAAAACTTACCTGGAATCCAGTGCTGAACAATTATCTTCCACTCCCCATTTCAAGCAAAAACAAAGCACAGATAGATTCTTACCACCATGATCACTTAAAAAAAAAAAAAAGTGGTCATTGTGATGGTAGTAACCGTTTAAGTAAATATGGGCTATCTAACCAGTTAAAAAAGGAAAGGGATCATAGCATTATTCATTATTGTGATGAGTTTCAATCTCAGTGTTTCTTTCTCATAATTTTTTATGAGGTTTTATGGGAATTAGGTTCTTTCCCCAACGCTTTATGTTACAGCTTTTTTGGTGTTTAGTATTAGAAGTAATATGGATATGGGGTGATCAAGTTCCAGGGTTAGAAGAACAGAAAATCTGTCTTTCTGGTGAAGATATCATATTGCCATTAAATTCTCCACACATGATATTATTTATTAGGAATTACACACTCAGGACTTTTCCAAAGAAATTTCCAGCCCTTCCTTAACAACTACATTGGTTCTCATTTTCATGGAGTTCCTCTTCATATATTTAGGTATTGAGTAAACATTTAAAGGGACACTATAGTCACCAGTGCAACTACATGTATTCCTGACCCTATAGTGTTAACACGACCATCTAGGCCCCCCGGTCCCCTCATGCATCCATAAGTATAGTAAAAATCTTACTGTATTCAAGCCAGAAGCTGTAAATCTGCATGCTTTTAGACTTTAGGAAAACGAGCAGTCTGCTGACATGTGATAGCCTGATCCAATCACAGTGCCAGAGACCAGACTGGACTGGCCCACTGGGATACTGGGATATTTCCCGGTGGGGCCGTCGGCACCTCGGGCCGGGCAGGCAGCTGGCTGACCTGCGGCCGCAGAGGGAGCTCTTTTGGCGGCCGCAGGTGGAGCTGGCTGTTCTGTCTCTGCTCCCCGCCCCAGCGCGCTGCTTACTGAGACCAGGGCCGGAATATGAAGTCATATTCCGGCCCCGGTCTCATTAAGCTTTGTGCTGGGGCGGGGGAGCAGAGACAGAACAGCCAGCTCCCCCTGCGGCTGCCAAAAGAGCTACCTCTGCAGCTGCCATAAGAGCCAGCTCCCCCATGCGGCCGCCATCAGACTGAGCTCCCCATGCGGCCGCCATCAGAGCTCCCCCTGGGGCCGCCAGCACACAGGTAGCAATTATGTGTATCAGTGTGAGTGTCTGTGTGAGTGTCTGTGTTATGGTATGTGTGTGTCTGTCTGTGTCATTGTGTGTGTCTGTCTGTGTAATTGTGTGTCTCTGTCTGTCATGGTGTCTGTGTCATGGTGTGTGTGTCTCTCTCTGTGTCATGGTGTGTGTGTGTGTGTCTGTCTGTGTCATGCAATGTGTGTCTGTGTCATGGTGTGTGTGTGTCTGTCTGTGTCATGGTGTGTGTGTGTCTGTCTGTGTCATGGTGTGTGTGTCTCTGTCTGTCATGGTGTGTCTGTCTGTGTCATGGTGTTTGTGTGTGTGTCTCTGTCTGTGTCATGGTGTGTGTGTGTGTCATGCAATGTGTGTCTGTGTCATTGTGTGTGTCTGTCTGTGTCATGGTGTGTCTGTCTGTCATGGTGTGTGTGTCTATCTGTGTCATGCAATTTGTGTCTGTGCCATTGTGTGTGTGTGTGTGTCTGTCATGTAATGTGTGTCTGTCTGTGTCACAGTCTGTCTGTGTCATGGTGTGTGTGTGTCTCTATGTCATGGTGTTTGTGTGTCTGTCTGCATCATGTAATGTATGTCTGTCTGTGTCACGGTGTGTGTGTGTCTGTGTCACGGTCTCTCTGTGTCATGGTGTGTGTGTGTCTGTCTGTGTCATGTAATGTGTGTATGTGTCACGGTGTGTGTGTGTCTGTGTCACGGTCTGTCTGTGTTATGGTGTGTGTGTCTTTTTTAAGGTGTGTGTCTGTCACGGTATGTTTGTGTGTCTGTCATGGTATATGTGTGTCTCTGTCATGGTGTGTGTGTCTGTCTGTCTGTATCATGGTGTGTCTGTCTGTCATGGTGTGTGTGTTTCTGTCTGTGTCACGGTCTGTCTGTGTCATCAAGCTTCATGTCTGTCATGGTATGTGTGTGCGTATGTGTGTTTTTACTCACCTTTTTTTTTCCCCACGTCGTGCTGGTCTCCCCTCGACTGGCCCTGCCTCTATGGCTGAGATCATTAAGCTTGATGATCTCAGCCAATCCGCACTGACACAGGAAGCACCTCTAGTGACCGTCTGAGTGTCTGTCACTAGGAAGCAATGTAAACACTGCCTTTTCTATAAAAAGTCAGTGTTTACATTGAAAAGCCTGTATACACACTAGAACCACTACAATAAGCTGTGTGTGTGTGTGCGCTTGTGTGTATCTAGGATGCATCTAGGGTGGCAAGACATAGCCTTACATATTACATGCGACAATATATGGCGCAATGACTTATGGGGCTGGCATAGATTTTTTTTCCAGGGCTGCTTTGGAATGCCCAGTCCAGCCCTGACTGAGACTGACAAGGAGGCAGATCAGGGGCAGAGCCAGCATGATTCAAACACAGCCCTGGCCAACCAGTATCTCCTCATAGAGATGTATTCAATCAATGAATCTCTATGAGGAAAGTTCAGTGTCTGCATGCAGTGGGAGGAGATACTGAATCACAGGATGTTCGTGCACAGCAGATCTGAGTGGATGGAGGCATATTATGAAGTCCCTCTGGTTCACTCTGAGTGACTGCAACTGGAGGTGTTCCTAGCTTTCAATGTAAACACTGTATTTTCCTCATTAGTTGTTCAGGTGACTATAGTGTCCCTTTAACCCCTTAAGGACCAAACTTCTGAACTAAAAGGGAATCATGTCATGTGTCCTTAAGGGGTTAAAGGACCACTATAGTGCCAGGAAAACAAACTCGTTTTCCTGGCACTATGGTGTTAATAGGTCCCTCCCACCGTCAGGGTCCCCCTCCCGCCGGGTTCAAGAGGGGTTAAGGGGTTAAACACTTACCTTTATCCAGCGCCGGGCTCCCTCGGCGCTGGGGACTCTCCTCCCTCTTCTGACGTCATCCGCACGAAATCACAGTGAGAAGTGCGGAAGGGACACTATAGGCAACCAGACCACTTCAGCTCATTAAAGTGGTCTGGGTGCACTGTCCCTGTCCCCTTAGCTCTGCAATGTAAAATTTTTCACTTTTAGAGAAACTGTTAACATTACAGTGTGAAGACTGCCTCTAGTGGCTGTCTCCCAGACAAACACCGGAGGCACGTCCTGCTGTTTCACAGAGCTTGACTCAGCGTTTTCAAAATTCCCATAGGAAAATATTGATTCTATGTGTTCCTATTTGGTAGGCCTAATGCGCATGTGCCGTTTGCTGCGCGGGGAAGGGTGTGGGGTCAGAGGGAACTATAGTGTTTTCATAACAGCTTTGTATACCTAAAACTGTACTGTTCTTTTAAAGCCAATACAAGGTTTTGGAGACATTAATTCAATTAATGCCAATATAGGGTTCTAGAGACATTCATATGCCACTTGCTTCTTCTGTCTTCTGTTTACTTTGAGGTGTCCAAGTTAAATAAAAAGTATTTAAAAAACACAACACATGGCTAACTTACAGTTAGCTACTGGTCTATGCAAGGCCCCTTTAAGAATGTTATTTAACTTTAAAAAAAAAGTTCAACTGCATGTTTGCACTGCTAGTAACAGTAACTGAAGTGTATACATTAACATGCTGATTGATTTTCTAAAGTTGACTGTATAATTTTACCCTGATCTTTGTTTTCCAGGTGGCAGTGGGGTAGTGAGCGAGTGCTGGGCAGACTCCGAAGTGGATTCCTCTAGTTCAGGGCAGCCTATCCACCTTTGGCAGTTCTTAAAAGAACTTTTATTGAAGCCACATAACTATGGGCGATCCATTCGTTGGTTGAACAAAGAGAAAGGTGAATGCACATGTTTTTCCCGACACTTGATATTGCATTGCCTGTATTGCTTATATTTATAGTTTTTCCTTTTATATTTAAAGGAAAGCTTTAGAAAAAGCTTGGCACAGACCGTTTCTTCCGTGCTACTTTTACATTCTGCACACTTCAGTAACTACTTTTTAGGCTACTACAATCGAGAATATCCATAAGTTTAGTTTACTATTTAGTATTGAGGTAAAAAAAATAAAAAAAAAATTAAATGGAGCCATAGAAAATTAACTCAGCTACAGTATTACTTTTAAAGAAAAAGCACCAAACTGGTGATGCTGAGTCTGATTTGCTAGCTAGTGTTAGGAGATGTTCCTAGGAAAATTGAGATTTGATTTTTTTTCTTTCATAACTCCTACTGATCATAGACATGAAAAGACGCTATGTGACACATAGATACATTGTTTAATTAAAAGAACCCTACTGCTATAATGGACTGGTGCTCTCTCATGGTAAGACATCAAACCACTCTGAGGCAGGCGTTGCTTAAGCTGTACATTGGGCCTGCTCATTTGCTGAGTGCAATATCAATCAGGTTGGCTACTTATCTTTGGACGGTGCCTGTGTGATCCTGGCACTATATGTACTACAACCGGCTGTACTGGTATGGTGCTGGAAGTTTTCTTTTAAATTACTTTGAATATGCAGCTCTAAGTCTCACCTCTCCTGGCTGTGACTCACAATCAGCTGTGAGCCACAGCCTTCATGAAAGAAAGATTTCATTTTCACACTGATCTTATAGCACAGTGTGTTTACTGTTCTTATCTCCTGTTCTGTTAATTGAACACATGCAGAAGGCTGCTGTATGGTCAAGCAGGCAATTAACAGAGCAGGCGGTACAAACTTCTAAATTAAACAGACAGTGCAATAAGATAAGGTTTGACCTCTTTTTCTGGAAGTGTGTGGCAAGGCTGTATGAGTCAGCCAAGGAAAATGGGCTAGGGCTGCATAAACAAAGTGGTACTAAGAACGGATAATGGCTCAAGTAGCTCTTTCTTTGCTGAGTCCCTGCTCAGGTCTCTTTAAAGGACCACTATAGTGCCAGGAAAACATACTCGTTTTCCTGGCACTATAGTGCCCTGAGGGTGCCCCCACCCTCAGGGTCCCCCTCCCGCCCGGCTCTGGAAGAGGGAAAGGGGTAAAAACTTACCTTTTTCCAGCGCTGGGCGGAGAGCTCTCCTCCTCCTCTCCGCCTCCGTTACGCCGCGCCGCTGAATGCGCACGCGCGGCAAGAGCTGCGCTACGCATTCAGCCGGTCTCATAGGAAAGCATTTACAATGCTTTCCTATGGACGCTAGCGCTCTCACTGTGAAAATCACAGTGAGAAGCACGCAAGCGCCTCTAGTGGCTGTCAATGAGACAGCCACTAGAGGCTTTGGGGGAAGGCTTAACCCATTCATAATTATAGCAGTTTCTCTGAAACTGCTATAATTATGAAAAAATGGGTTAACCCTAGAAGGACCTGGCACCCAGACCACTTCATTAAGCTGAAGTGGTCTGGGTGCCTAGAGTGGTCCTTTAAGTTTTAGGTCAATGTGTCATTAAAAAAGAGAACCTTAGTCACACATTTAGACTGATCCCACACATAAGCACAGTCCAGATCCAAAACCCTGGAAAGTTTCCTGGCAAGAGAGACATACAACAACCCCAGACAATTTTGCTTGTTGAGCCTCCTCAACAGGGGCAGCTGTAGACTTTGCGAGGCCTCAGGCGAAACTCAAACACCATTAGTTGAAAAAAAAAATAGTGGTTGCCTTGTGTGTGCATAAGGAGCTGTACCTGTATTGAAGGGCGAACTTGCAGCTTTTGATACAGAGATGTAATCTCTGTATTCATCTTCAGAGGCTTGCATTGTCGCAGCTCCCTATGCCACTGCGTTGTGAGCACTTGTAGATACTTGTAGATGACTGTAGATATGGTATAATATGCTAATCATTTATATACAATTGCTGGGTATGGTTGTATAGCCTGTCAGTTGTGTATACATAAGTGCCAGTGTGAAGGGGTTATTTGAAAAATCTACATTTTGTTTGGGTTTTAAAAAACAAATATTTTCCAAATAATAAAGAAAGTTACAGATAAGAAAACAATGATGTCATAGACCTTTCCCCACATATTCTAACATCTTTTGAATCACAACAATCAAAAAATACCACAAAATAAAGCAACATATTGTCTAGGTTTTTTTTTAAATTATATTTTAATATATTTATGTGCAATCAAAAGTCTGTAAATGTTTCCTATAATGTTTAGAAAATAATGAATACAGCTACATACATTCTTTTATTTTTGTTGACACCATTTTAGATAAACACTTTTTTTTTGGCAGTGTGGAGGTGGTGTATGTTTCTGTTCAATTAGTATGCCTAGCTTTTTTTCTTACATTTTATGATGTATTTCATTAGTTTATATGGTCAATATTTGTCTCCTATTTGTACTTTTTGTGAAAGATGCTTTTCTAATTTCAGGTATTTTCAAGATAGAAGACTCTGCACAGGTTGCACGTCTGTGGGGAATCAGGAAAAACAGACCAGCAATGAACTACGATAAACTGAGCCGCTCTATCCGTCAGTACTACAAAAAGGGAATAATTCGCAAGCCGGATGTATCACAGCGCCTTGTTTATCAGTTTGTGCACCCACAGTGAAGTGATGAAGCAATGAAGTGAAAGAGCATGTAAAAAAAAGAGGGCCTAAAATGGCACGGCAGTAAACACACTGTCTAGCAAGTATACTGCCATATGAATGGTCCCTTGCACTGCACACTTTTTAAAGGCTGTGATCACTTCAAAAGATTCCAAAATAAAAATAATATAGGCAACACCTATATTATGAAAAAGTTCAACTTTTAAATAATAGACCTGCCAGAAAGCAAAATAAAAAAACCTACAGAATGCCTTGATTTCAGACATTTAAAGAATACACAGCACATAATTGCTAAATAAAGTTTGCTCTGTCACCCTTTTTCACTTTTTCTCAACTGGGAGTCACTGATGTGAGACATTGTGGACTCATTGACCAGAGAGGACAATGGGAGGTGGAATCGGGCAGGACAGATTGACACACAGCTTTTGTGGCATACTAAAAACTTACAGAACACTGAGCATGCCAGCTTTATGTAAAATCTTCTAGGACGCCAGCAACTTGAGCGCAGATTATCAAGACAATTCAGTCAACTGTAGAATAGATTTGTGTAAAAGTTTTAAAGGTTTTTTTTTTCTCCAGCAATGATATATCTGAAAAACTCCAGTTAATGCACTATCATTTTAAACTAGCTCACATAAAGTGGGATTATTAATCAAATATCTTGCATACATTAATAGATAGTATATTCTATTCTGCAAAGTGACAATGGCAGTAGCCATTTTGTTAATAAATTATTGGTTTTGGTACTGGTAATAATTATTCTTGTAGTTGGAAATGTGATTTCTAAATATTCCAAAGACTGCCTGTTTGGAAACCTAATATGCTTGGTTAGATGTGCTCACTTCTTGTTTGTTTTCAGTTAAGTAATTATAAGCGTTTGGACGTAGGAATAAAACATTTCATTAATATGTTGTAAAATCAACTACTATGGCCATTACAACTTTGCAAACATTTCCGTAGTGATGCATTCTACAACATATCAAAAATACATTTTTCATGATAGTCCCCCGTGAAGCTGCCTACTGTGAAGCCAATATAATTGCTTATAATGTCTTGTTCAGATATATATATATATATATATATATATATATATATATATATAAAAGAAAATCAATGTATGATGTTTCTGACAAGTATTTTTACTTGGGATGCACAACTAGTATGATTCTGCTTGAGGTATAAACCACATTTTGAAATATTTTAAAGAACTGGCACTGACCAGGTTTTTTAACATTATGTTTACTTATCTCATCTATTTAACAAATATGTATTTGTGAGATGTGAAAATTTTTAATTAAATGTAAAATTTAATAATATAAGTTAACATTTCTTTATACTGTAAGTGGGCACCTCCATCTTACCTCCTTCAATTATTGTTACAAGCTATTGTATATCCTTGCATCTGTCAATCAGCTAGAGAAAGCATACAAAGAAGACAGGTACTTAAAGGGAATCTATAGTATTAGGAATATAAAGTTGTATTCCTAATACAATAATGCCCTCTGGTTTCCTCCCATGCCTCCTCTCAACCCCCCCGTGGATCATAAAGGTTAAAAACCCTTTATCTACTCATCCGATTCCAGTGCCAATGTCCCTTGGCACTGGGTCAGCACTCTGCCTCCTCCGTCGTCATCCGATGGGGGGAACCTAATGTGCAAAAACTGCATCATTTTACATTGCAGGACTAGGGGGGACAGGGACACTGCATCCAGACCACTTCAAGGAGCTGACCTTTAAACAATATTGGGTGCCTATAGTGTTCCTTTAAACATATTTCTTTGTCATAACCAGTGGCAAAAACCTCTCCCCACTTGGGCATGTTAGCTCTGTGCATGTATAGGGCACCCTGTGCATAAATGTCCTTCCAGGATTCTTACTGTTGTTTTTAACTTCTCAGTACAACCTAAACACGACAAGTATTGTGTTTTAAATTATCTATTGCCACAGATAAATGCTAACATAACTCCTTTACTTTCATATGCATCTTGCAATTTTTGCCAAAGAGTTCCAAATGTATTACACAATTTTTGAGTACTTAGAGGGTTAAATATATATTTATTCTTTTTAAGTGTTTCACTATAGCTCATATCATTTCTAACATGTATACAGTTCACAAGACGGCAGAAGAAAATATTTCTTTCTTATACAATACATATGTAGAGTACATCAATTTTTTTGTGTTTTGTTTTTTAAATATTTCGCTGGGAATTTATCTCTTTGTGGGGTTCTGCAGTTTTAATGGTTGAGGGTGTGACTCTTTCGTGACCAAGACAACACAAGTTCTCACGCTGTCACTTGCTTACAGTCTGAACACACACCAGCTATTTGCAGTCTGTTGCTGCTATTGTACAATGACACCTCTATTAGCAGACTTCCCACGACATTAGTAGAGGGTCAGAGAGAAATGGAAAAGTAAATGAAAATAAAGGTAGAAGGGAGTGAAAGGAAATGAAAGATTATTTGCAAGACAGGGAAACTGAAAAATGATTTACTTTCAAAATGTCATCATGAAAACTGTAACAGGATTATTCACTAACGTGAGATTGCAAAGTTAAATTCAAATTTAAAGTCACAATAGCCAAACTATAAAAGTTTGGCTAATCTGGCCTTAGATTTATAATCACTTTAAATTCTTGATTTAGTAAATAACCCTATAAAAATGATGTAAGAAGAGTTATGGAATTTCCCGTAGTCATAATAAGAGCACAGCAGCATTACAAGGCATTTGATAATAATTACAGAGCTATGGACACTAGTGTAACTATCATTATAGCACAGGGTCCTTAAATTGCATTTGGATACATATGTGAACTCCCTAAGCTGCATAGAAGATGTGGATTTTAACTCTCTTCTCTCTGACTGGCTGGAATTATTATATTGAGTACAGATACCATGTAACTAAAATGGGCCCTCTGATACAAACCCTGTGATACAAACCCTGTTCCTATGTAACCGTAGCAGCAATATACAAATTTGAACCATTATGAATATTGATGTCATAATGCTGCGTTCTAGATTGTAAACTTGCATGACAGGTGTCTTCTTTGCCTCCGCTCTTTAACATGATTGTCTGAATTTATTTGTTTTGCTTTCTTTTATACACTTTTTGTACAGTGCTACATAATCTGTTGATACTCTTTAAACATTCACTAATATTAATAAAAGACACTGCCACTCATATGTTAGTACTCTTCTTTTATTAAACACCCTTGAAAATGAAACTGGAGAGAATGTTAACCAATAGAAAGGACAGCGTGAAATGTAACTATGGAGAAATAAACTGAAAATACGTTTTGCAATTCATTTTGAATGTGTGATATCCTGCATTTCTTTATTTAATATATAAATAGACACAACGATCGGGTGGGTTCCAAATTCCTGTGGGTTTCAAACTCCTACAAGGTACTATGCAAAAATGGTTCAGGAGCTTACACACTAAAGGGAAAATATGTGTCAAAAGCAGTGGCGTCTCTAGGATTCATCTTTAGGGGGGGCACATGGAGGGCCAGGGACACAAGTAGGGGGGCACATTTAACCCCGCCCTCGCCGCAGTTTGACCCCGCTCCTGCCACATGTTAAGCCCCGCCCCCAACACAATGTGTTTTGTTTTTTTAATAATCCCTGGTGGAGGATTCATTATTTTCCACCAGGGATTATTAAAAAACAAACACATTACCCTGGATACAGTGCCATAGTTGCCAACATTTGAAAAAAAATTCCAAGGACATTTTGCAGCACAGCTATCAATTACTGTCTGGGTATAATATCCCTGGACAGTCAATGCTCTCTGTATAATACAGGGTTGTGTGTATAATACATTGGGGCACTCAGTGCTCCCTGTATAGTGCTGCTCTCTGTATAATACAGGTCTGTTTGTGTATAATATCCCAAGACAGAGAGCAGCACTATACAGGGAGCACTGACTGTCCCGGGATATTTTACAGGCACAGGCCTGTATTATACAGAGAGCAGCACTATACAGGAAGCACTGACTATCCCCGGATATTATATACACACAGATCTGTATTATACAGATAGCTGAGCATATACCCCATGTCCCAATCTCTAGACTACTAGTACCTGTCAACAGAAGCTCCCAGACGCGTGTAACCGGGCTAAAGTGTGCGGCAGCTCACATAGGTGATTCAGCGGTAAAGTGCACTCGCTGGCAGAGCCAAACTGGGAATCCCTGGGAATCCAAAGCAGCCCTGGAAAAAAAACGTATGCCATTCCTACAAGTCAAAAAAAAAAATATATATATATATATTTATATATATATATATATATATATATATATATATATATATATATATATATATATATATATATATATATATATAAAATATTCAAATACTTGCACTCCTGTGTATCCTGATGAAAGTTCTGTATTAAGAACTGAAACGTCGATTGTGTGTGGCAGTTGCTGAATAAAAGCTAAGTTTTTTTCACCATTTACTTTTTGAAGTCCTTAGAGTGCTGTTACCTACCATTTTTATTTTTATGTTATTTGCTTTATTAGCACCAGGCATTAATCTATCTCTACAGGAGTGCAAGTATTTGAATATTTTATATATATATATATATATATAGTACAGTAAGCACATAAGCTAACTGACATGCGCAAATAGACTTACTGACAGACAAAACTCTCTGACTCACACACAAGCGTACTACAGACAAACTCACTTGTATAAACAGAAGGCTCACTACAAAGAAGTTCAGGGACACACACAAGCTCACTAAAGACAAGCTCACTGGCACACACATGCTCACTAAGTAGAAGCTCACTGACACACACAAGCAGTACCATTTTAACAGAGTAACAAAGCAATGAACTGGGGCCTTTCCTACACAACAACTCACAGGAATTTTAATTATTGATAGACTGCTGAGTCCATACACACACAGACTGCTGAGTCCATACACACACACACA